CCCAAAAACCCCGTAGCCACCTAGTCTAACCGCATTGGAGCACTCGGCAAAGGGTCCTGTCCACCAGGTAGGCCAGAACCGACGACCGGCTTTGCTGAGCCGCCATAAGGGGCAAGGTCTGTTCTGGTCCGTAATACTATGTACATCTTACTATCAGGGCTAGGTGATTTACATTGACTTGAACTTAAGCTTTATCCCACGTGCTAGCCGGTCACTCCGCGGGGAGCTTCCGCTCAGTATGAGGTCGACCTGGATCCCGTTTACCAGCAGCACCAGCACCCATGCGGACTGGATTTACCTCGTGGAACATGCAAGCCCACGGCCTCTCCAGCGACAATCCCTCCAGGTCGCTATTCTCGATCCGTATGTCCACCCACGTGAAGTTCAGCCGACCGCTGGTTCCGGACTGGACTAAGGCATCCAGATACTCGGGCGACGCCCGAGGGCCATCCTGGTCTAGATTCCGGGGGCGCTTTCTACACCTCTATCATGTCCCTGTGCATGTCTCTCCTGACATGGGCCCCTTGAAACTATCGGCGCCCGACATGAAGCTCACGGGGATGGATATCCTTGTGTTGTGTTGGACTTGCCGCCGTTTTGGATGCCCAAAGATATCTTCAAATACCAGCCAAGAATCCCCCAGGTTTGGTTTTGAGAAGAAGTTTTCCTTCAGACCATCATCACTTGCTCCTTAATAATCCCATTTACACCTCGGAATCAAGTAACTTATCAGAATATACATACTGGTGTCGGCACCAACCAGACCCACCATGCCTTCAGCTCAATCTATCCTGCTGGCCGTTGCAGGCGTAACCTTTTCAGTCCTTGGGGTCAACGCCCAGGACGTTCCCTTTACCTACAACGGCGCCTTTGAAGGGTAAGCCTTCTATCTTTCCTAGTGCAAGTCACACAGACTTGCACAATCCTCCTGCCGTTAGTCGTGTTGACGAAAGCCACCAGTGCGACGGCCTCATCCACAGACTTCAACTCAGGCGGCACCATCCGTGTCAGCGGCCACAGTGTCACAGTGCCCAAGAACCTACAGATTCAGTTCCCAGCCGCGTGGGTTGGCTTCAAGGACTTTGCCGGCGGCAGTGCTGCATTTGATGAGTATGAGGTTGAGGTGACCGGCAATATTGTCGGTGGCACGCCCATTGCTGCCCAGATCTCCATCGCGCAGTATCTCCTCGCCGGCGCCACCGGCTTCGTTGACACTGTCAGCTTTGATGGCCGCATCAAGATCAAGGGCGGACCGACCATTCGCATCAATGATCCCAACGCCGTCTACTCGGCTGGCTACACTGCGCAGCCCTTCTTCACAGCCGATGATGCCAACCCCAGCATCACCGCCTTCTCTGGCTTCCCCATGTGTGTGCCCAGGAAGGCGGACGACCCTCTGTGCCCTCAGAGTAACCGACCGACTCTCACTGGCGGTAGCAAGCAGGGCAACTTGTAAGTTCATCCACGAATTTTCGCCCCATGACTCTCATGTGCTGACACAACCTGATGCAGCCCTGCCCCTGACCCTCTTGTCATGGCTCCAATCGTGCCTGGTGACTATCTCGAATACAGCGGCATTCAAGTAGACGGCGAGATCATCGTCTACAACATGGTCGTAAGCAATGTGCAGATCACCACCACTGGAGTTCCTACCTACATTCGCATGGAGGATGCTATTATTGGCGTCTTCTCCAGCAACGGCGACCAAGAGACAGCTCAGATCAGGGTAGGCCTCTAGCACCTGTCATCATGAGCTCCTCAACTGACGAGAATAGTTCATCGGAGTCACTTCTGACGGCTCTGCCAATGTTAACCCCATCAAGGTCTATGCCATGGACGTGGATCCTTGCACTGGCAAGATCACAGATCGCGAGGTCGCCGCCACCAGTATGATTGCTGGTTCCGCTCGTAACAAATTTGATTACCGTGTCAAGGCAACGCAAACCCAGGAGTACACGCGCGAGTACCGCATCGTCGCCGGCACGGGCACGCGCAAAACCAAGAACGGCATTCTGGCAGGTCAGTACGTCATGCCCGTGTCTGAGTGGATCCAGGCCGAGGCCACAACCCCGGGCCTCGCTCCGTTCCCCAACAACTACCGTAGCTTCCCTACTCTCACCAAGGGCCTGGGCTACGACGACAAGAACAACCTTTGGGGACCGCTCAATCCATTCCCCCAGTCAGGTGCCACTGTATCTGATCCGACCAAGTGCCCGCCCCCTGCCACAGAGGAGCCTCCCGCAACCGGTGGCGGCACCACCGGCGGCGGCACCACCGGCGGAGGCACCACTGGCGGAGGCACTACTGGTGGCGGGGCGACTACTCCTCCCGCAACCACCAACGATGTAGTTACTATGCCGACCTTCACCTGGATTTCTTCCGGTGGCGGCACTCTGACCATCTCATGCCGGTCCAGCAGCACCGATTCCAAGGTTGCCATGAAGCTGAGCTACACCAACAGAAATGGCCCCACGAACGGTGTCACCATGACTGCTGGCGCGAACGGTGTGTGGAACTATAACGCACGGAGCATCAAGCAGCCTACCTCCGTAACCTGCACCAGTGTTCTCGGCGGCAAGGTGACGCGCACAAGCTAAAAGATGCCCCATGACAGTTTCTTATCAGACCTTCGAGCGAAGGGTATTCATTGGGCGTTTGGGGTCTTTCTGGGAGTACAATGGTTCATATGATAGCGAAATAATACCAGAACTTTCACAACAGCTTGAGCGTGCTTTGCGTGACGTTCCGCAAGATGTGACTCTGGGTCGTTCTTATTCACCGGTCTTGGTCATGCAGAACGGTTCAAAACTTGACCCAAGCGAGTGGATGTATGCGTGGAGCCCCTCACCACGTCTCGTCCAGGACCTCCAGATTCGGCAGCTGACATTCAAATTTGTTAGTAGAGCCCCGGAATAACTGCCCACTTCTTCCGAATCTTGTCTTCTCCAAACTGCTCGGCGTACCACTTTCGTCCCTTGATGGCTCTCGGAAGCATGGCGGCAATCTCATTGATGAGGAAAGCACGTGCAGGCACGGACCAGCCGGAGGCCATCCAGAAACCGAACCACTCAATCCACTCGCAAAGATAGTGAGGGTACAGCATGTACCTGAACAACAAGGTGTTGGGCACACGGTAGTGCTTGTCGACAGTCGGTCTGGCGTCTCCGTTCTGCTGCTTGTCGCGGGCGACGCGTTCCTGTCGCCGCTGCTCTACGCGGCGGATCTCGCGCAGCTCCTCATCGTGAAAGTAGTTGCCGACGAGGCCGCAGTAGAAGACGGCGATGCCAGCGACGAACTGCGCGGTGCCAAACGGCGCGAGGGCGGCGGACCACTGCGCCTCAGTCGTCGGCCCGTACGCAGCCAGGTAGGCGCCTATGCAGGTGCCGTTGACGAGCTGGAAGCTCGTGGCGAGCATGGCGACAAGCGGATGGATCGGGGACATGGACGGCTGGATGAAGGGGAAAATCACTGCGCGATATGAGTAGTGAATGACCTGAGAATGAGAGAGAGAGCGTCAGCGACAAGTGCGCCTCCGGAGCCAAGGGGGTTCGACGCACAAAAAGACCGGCAAGCACTTTGTTCTGCCACGGAAGGTCCGTGATGCCGGAGAGGCCGGGCAGCGTTCTCATGACATAAAGTAGGATGGAGAAGCCCGGGATCTCCATGAGGAACCACGCAACGCGGCCGGGCAGGTTGACACGGCTTTTTACCGATGTCTTGCCCATACCATACCATGAGATGAGGTACTGTAGAGAACCGAGCTGCAGGCAGAAGTCAGCTCATGTTGTAATGAGTCCAAATCATGGCTCTCCATTGTACGACTCACGATTGGGTACGAGATTTGCCAAACGCTCAGAATGGTCTTCCAATTCTCTCTCGTCGGAGGAAGCCAATTCTCAATGAGAGACATGATGATGTACCGCCGTTCAATATCAGAAAAACAAGTGAATTGTTGAAAAATGACTCGACGCGGTTGACTCTGAATGAGGGAGGAGGTGACGCCGTAGGACCCGTCACTGTTGATGCTGTTGATGTCAACAGCAGAGACACGCACGGTGAGGCGGTCAGTGCCAGGTCCAAGAGTGGGCCTGGGTCACTTGACAATGGTTCATTTCGCAAGGAAGCTTATTTGAGGATAAGAGACCATGATTGAAAATGGGATGCGCCACTTCACCCAACAAGATTCCATAACAGCGCACCCCGAGTCCATTGCACAGGAGTAAGATATGCTGAAGGTAGGTCTTTTCCATGTCGGTGTAGCCCCTCGGTGTAGGCCTCCTTGCCCCCCCCTCCAATCCACCCACGGGTATGTGTGCCCACGCATCCGGAGCTTGACCGCAGTTGGTGCATCACGTGCAATTAGCTCCTGCCCACCACTAGTACGTCATGCTGTGGCTGATGCTAATGTGGAGTGGGCCGGGTCAACGGCGGCGGTTATTGGAAAGGTTGGTTGATCGGTTGGTGGGTGTACTGTCATCGCACCCCCAGACCAGGTATTTCTGTCACCAGATCGCCATCTCTTACCTGGAATGGCAACCATTACATGGACTGATTCGCCTCCGTTTTGAGAGTGAGATCTTCGGGGCTGGAGCGCAGCAGATTCCCGCACCCAAGTGCTGTGTTGACGCTCGAATCACCCAGAGTTACCATTGCCAGTCAAGCCAGCCCCAGGCAGTATCCCGCCTTTCTCGCCCTCCAATCCTGCTGCCTGGTCCGGCCTGGGATGCCCCTCATTTTGGTACCTATAGCACCCACATACTACTACCGACTCTACATACCTAGGTAGGCGCGCCGAGGGTCCCTGCTCCCCACCAGCCTCCAACCTAGTGACATCTGACCCTGGGACTGCCAGACCTCAGCCGCCTCCGCCAGGTTGCTGGCACCGCCACCTCACGGAGTCCGCGTACAGCTTACAGCGTTCGCGTAGCTGGTCCCTTGTATGACGACAGCCTCGACAGGTGCTGCCGTTTACTAAAAAGAATCTTTGTTGCAACAACCACATGTTACCATTCCTTACGACGACTTCGCCCGGATCATTTCCCTCTCAGCAACGACCAAAGACCAAAGGTGACTCGACACCCAAGCCTGGCAACCCCCCTCATGCCTTAGATGGCAAGGAGGATACCGTGGTCCACACAGATATGCTGACTCGTACTGTGATCAGCCTTGCCGCCATGGTCGAACGTAAACCTCTTCCTGACAATGCCGCGACGACCTCCCTCAACATCCCCGGGCAGTCCTCAGAAGTGAGCCCACCGTACGAAATACCCTATTCGCTCCGTCCTGGAGGCGCCAATCACCCAGACCAAGCGCCAGCGGACCGTGAAGAGAATGCCTGGGAGGATGCAAACCCACAAATACCATCCATTGTCGAACCCTCCACGCGGCCCCCCGGCATTCCCGAATCCTTGACACCCGGCCACCGTCCGTCCACCGAAGTCCAGCCCTCCACATCACCCTCACGATCCGATACGAATCGATCCGAAACAAATCCATTCAAGCGGCGAGAACTACCACAAAACAGTTCCAGTCATGCTGTTGGCCAATCGTCACAGCCCCCGCCGCTTCCTCCAACGCCAGCTTTTGCCGACTTGAGCCTGGGCGAAGCGAATACCAATCCATGGCAGCCCGCTTTAGATGAATCAAGCAAGAGTCCACATGCTGCCGCCTCGACATCGAATAATGTTACTACCGCGCCCTTACCGCCGCCGTTTCCCGCCGACTTGGGCCAGCCTGCCGAAAGCGACCCATGGCAACGCGAGCCTTCTCCCAAGCCTCCAGTGCCACCCATCTCGACGTCTCCCGCGCTGATCTCCATATCTTCCGCTCCCGAGTCCCCAGCTTGGGACGAAGAACCTGAACAGCAGCTCTTGCGATCGCCCCCTGTCTCCCCGGAAGCTAGCAAAGCGCTTGCCGAGGATCGAAATGTATGGGACGATGGGCTTTCTCAGAGCAAGAATGTCAAGGCACCGGTCATGACCCAGCCGAGTAGTAGCGACGCTGCCATTGACGACTGGAGCCTGATCGATCGCGACACAAGTCTCTCGGCAGACGATACATCCAAGAACAAAACACACAATCCACCCAGCACCGACAACATCCAGGACGAGGCACCTGCTCTCCCTCCACGCCGGCCAACACAGCCAATTCCGCCACGACACTCGCCTCGCCCCGTGGATGGCAAGGCTGAAACGTACCAGATCAAAAACATCAATTGGCACGATCACAAGGCCGACGCGAACCCGCGCACTTCACCTATTCTCGTGCAAAACGAAAACGGACCATGCCCGCTCGTGGCTCTCGTGAATGCGCTAACGCTCACAACCCCCGCTGAGCTCACGGACACGGCATTAGTTCAAGTCCTCCGCTCGAGGGAGCAAATTAGCCTCGGACTCTTGCTAGATGCTGTGTTTGACGAGCTCATGTCATCGCGACGGACCGAAGAGGGCAGTTCATTGCCTGACGTAGGCGAACTCTATGCTTTCCTCAAAGGCCTGCATACAGGCATGAACGTGAACCCCCGATTTGTTCCCGATCCAAAGGTGGTCCAGGCTTTTAAGCGTACCTCACTCACTCATCTACACCCCACCGAGCGCAGTGACAGCATGCCGGGCACCTTTGAAGACACAGTCGAGATGTCCTTGTATGCAGCTTTCTCGATCCCACTTATCCATGGTTGGCTGCCGGAAAGCGATGACCCAGTCTGTGAATCATTCGCCCGGCAAGCAGTATCGTACGAAGATACGCAAAACATCCTCTTCCGAGAGGAGGAGCTTGAGATGAAGCTTGAGGGGGACGGGTTGACAGAAGATGAACAACAGCTCTATCAGGACATATTCTCGATCAAGGCGTTTCTTGAGACATCGGCCACTCAACTCACGTCCTGGGGGCTCGACGTGATTACAAAGGCCATGAAGCCTGGCATGGTCGCTATTCTGTTTCGAAACGATCATTTCTCCACGCTGTACCGCCACCCACAGACCCTGCAGCTTCTCAGCCTTGTCACAGATGCCGGTTACGCAACCCACGCAGAGGTAGTGTGGGAATCTTTGACCGATATCAATGGTTTGACCTCCGAATTTCTCTCCGGAGACTTTCGTGTCGTTGGAGGCGCGAGTAATCATCGTGACAGTTTGTCGGTCGGCGGGAACGAGACGCCGTGGTACGATACCCCCGGTCCGTCTGGTGCGAGCACGTCTGCTGGCAGTCAAGGCGGTGACTGGACATCGTCAACGGGGCACGGTAGACAAGGCTCAAATTCGCAGGCTGTCGAAGGGGCCGACACCGAACAGGAGGATCACGACCTTGCGCTCGCCTTACAACTACAGGAGGAAGAAAACGAACGCCACCGCTCAGAGCAGGCGCGCCGAGACCGGGAGAGGGTGCTGAGCGAACAGTATATCGAGCAACAAGCCCGACAAACGGGACCGGCGAGCAGCACTGGCGCAGGAGTCGGAGCCGGTAGAGGGCGGGGAACCCCAGGTGGCAACCGAGGTCGCGGCGGAGGCAACTCGTCTCTTGTCAGTCCGCGCGGCTCCAGCAATGCGGCCACTTCATCTGGTACACGGCGCCCTAGCGCCGTGGGCCCCTCATCGCCTCAGCAAGTCCGGCCACTCGTTCCCCCTGTCGTCCCGCAGCGCAGAGCGCCGGTGTCACGGCCAGTGGACGAAGGCGCCGAGGACGCACCGCCGACATATGAGCAGGCACAGAGTGCGACGCCGTACATGCCACCACCTGGCCACCCAAGTCACCCCGCAAGCAACCAAAGTCTTTCTCAACAGAACAGCAATGTCAGCGCTCAGGGTCAAGGCCCAAACGGACAGCGGCCTATGATGATGGGACAAGGGCGAGGCCGGCCTATGCCTCCTGGGGGCGTCGTCTCAAGCCCGAACGGGAGTCGCGAACGAGATTGTGTGCTCATGTGAGGCGGGCTATCTACTAGAAGAGGAAGGTCGAATCAAGATGTGCGTTCAGCAGGTTTCAATACGGGGCGTTGGTGCTAGACAGCTGGTCGCTCTGGATGTATGATTTCATGACGTCAACTCACGACGATGCTCGATAATGGCAAGCTAGCAATACTTCAAGTCAATAATGCATCACTGTTTTCCGCATTCCCACAACCACCAACTCCCAGCTATTCGTTTGAAGGCACCTTGATGATAGTATGCTCGCCATACGCCCGCTGACCACCAAACACAATACCCACCGACCCATCAACCTTTTTCACTCATGGTCCATTCTCCCATCAACCTCTTACCAGAACGAAGCCTCGACCAGGAAGCCGACGGTCAGTCTGCTGTGCTGCAGGGCGTGAGCGTAGAACCTAGTCTGAGCAGTGTCGGAGGTGGTGTGGATGTAAGGGCTGGAGCTCGTCATGGTATCGGCGCAAACGTAGGCCGCAGGGTAGCCGGCAGCACGAGCGGCGGCGCTGTCACTTCCGTTAGCATGACACGATTGTCAGGAACATGGGGGAGGCTCGAACTCACTGGTCGGAGCATCCGTATCCGCAACGGTCGGTAACGACGGGAAGCGAGGTGTAGACGGGCACCAGGCGCTGCATGTAGGCAGTGAGGCTGGTGTCAACCTGGGACAGCATTAGTATCTCATCTCTGTGTCTAGCGATCTCGAACTCACAAAGTCCTGGTAGACGGCAATGACGTTGTTGTCGGAATAGCCAGTCATGTCCTGGTTGACCACAGCGAGGACATTGACGTTGTTCGCAGCATAGTTGTTGAAAACGTCACGGGCGCCGAGCAGGCCACCCTCCTCACCGCCGTAGAAGTGGAACTCGAGGGTGTTGCCCGGGGCGTACTTGGCAACGGCCATGACGCGGAGGGCCTCAAGGATGGTGGCAACGCCCTGGTTTTCACTGTTAATTATACCACTCTACAAAAAAGGGACGAGGGGGCCACTTACGGAAGCGTTGTCGTCAGCACCAGGGGCCCGGCCTGTCACACTCTGCGAGTTGATGCTGTCGTAGTGAGCGCACACAACGACCCTGTCTGTGGAGGTACCCGGAATCGTAGCAATGACACTGGGCTGGTTGAAAGAGTGCGTGAACTGTCTGACCGTGATGGCAGTGTTGGACGAGGCGGCGGACCTGACAGCGTTCAGCATGTAGGTTGCGCTGGTCGGCGCGTAGGTGCCCCTGTAGTATCTGTTGAAGATGTTGGCGAGACCAGTGATGGTGCTCTGGATGTTGCTCTGCACAAGCCTGGCAATGATGGGATTCGCTGTCGCCTGTTTACTGGGAGCAGGGTACGCCGTCTGACGCTTGGTCAGAGCACGACGGCGGAGGGTTCCGAGCTCTTCGAGTTCCTTGATTCCTCATGTCAGTCCGGGTGCGCCATGTATACTCATGATGAAGCTCACCTGAGTCTCGGTGACATCCATAAAGTGGACGTGCTTGAGCATGTAGTTCTCAATCTTCTCCTTCTCAGTAACCCAGGTTCCGGCATCTTCTTCCGATGTCTTCAAAAGGCGGAGGCCATCGAGCTGGTGCTCATCCAACTCTTCCGTGTTGAGAGAGTTGGCATCGCCAAACTTGTACTCCTTCGTGGCACGGCAAGCCTGAGAAGTTTGCAGCAGGAAGGCGCCGACGGCGAACAGAGTAGTGGTTCGGACCATGATTGCGATGATGCCTCGAAGCCGATGGGATGAGAGTAAGGAAAGCCCTTCTTCCCAGTCGTGCTGACGTCTCTTCAGAGCAGTATTTATGCTTGGCGATATCGGCCGCGTCCGTTGCTCCAGGAATCAAGCTGCTTCGCTCGCATTTGCCGGCATGTCACAGCTGCCTCATCCGTTGCGGGCCGGTTGGCACCTTCCGAGAAGAGATCTAGCTTCGGCAATTGCAACTTCCACTTGTAGTAAGCTCTCCGGGGTAGAGATCATGTCGATCTTATCAGGCCCCATCGGACCCCTCCGTGCTGGGCTCTGACAGGCCTTTTGAGGTAAGACAACGCCGATTGTAGTGGCGTGCTGGGCAAATGGCGATGCGTTCCTCTCCCTTTCCAAGCTGTGGCTTGTATCAGGAGGTTGCTGGTTCCACAACTTAGACTGAGCCGGCGGTGATGTATAGCCATCTTGTTGGCGCACGCATGACTCGTCGGTATGAACCCCCATTGCCCCAGAACGTTCTTAGTCCCCCCTCACTATGGGAAAAAGCCTCAAGCCTCAGGTCTTGGGGCCTTCACAGCACTTGGACCTGCCTTACTAGTATTGCAACCATCGCAGGAACTGAAGAGGCGATGCAGAACATGACACGATCATGAGAGCTCGTATAGATCCATCCAGTGGGTCTCTACTCCAATGCTGGTTCTCCTGATCCAGCGAGCTTGGAGCTCCCGGTTCCCCATGCTACTCTAGGCATGATGCCAATGTCCCGCAACAGGGCACATCCGCAACGGACCCCGAATGCTTAGCCATCATCTGTTTCTCTGATGCAGTCAACCACATTCATCGCAGAATTCACTCTGGCGCTAGTACCGTGCTCAAATGTAGAAGCTTTTACGGTCGACAAGTGTTTCAAGATAAGCCATCAATCTGTTTTCCTCATACTATGATCTGGTTGTTATGGTTTCATACGTACGTTGATTAATTTTCCAATTCTATGCTGTGTAGACAATCTGCAGTGTTCTGACACGGGACGCCGAGGATGGCAATTCAGAAGTTTTCCTCTAAAAAGATCTAAAAAGAGAGAGGAAGGGAAAGCGGTAAGTGTTCACAATGAAAGGATGTCCAGTTCCAAACCACTACAGCCTCAACTTGACGGAAACGTGCAGCATCCTCATCTTCTCCGACGGAGGTTTGTTGCTCAGACAAATACTTATGTTATTATAATCGGCGCCAGCTTTGATTCCTACCGTATCAGCCATTACTGTCAAAGCTCTTGAGCTTTCCCACTCGTTAACGAGTTTGGTTCTGTAGTTGTCACGCAATGTCATCAGGCCTTGGTTGACGTATCTCCAAGGCAAGACGAAAGTGAACGACTTCCCCAATGACGATGATCTCACAAGTATGCAAACAGCCGGAGGTTCAGCAGCCAAAATGACAACTTAATGAATTGACCACCTCAGAACTTACGCTTCAGGCGGTGTTCAGAAAGAACCATCAGATCACCCATATATTGATACGGTCACGTAGGCCACTCAACATGAAAGCAACAAAAGCTCTCGCTTCACGATCAAATCGAATTGAATAATCAAGATCCCTGCAGTATCTGAGTTACAATTGAGTAAAGAGGTCTGTAATAAATCGGTTAGTGATGCGTGGAAAGGTTGGGAGACTGAGCTGTACTCTCATACTTGTGTGAGTAGCGTGTCACCAAATGTAACTAGATCACATGTTCCGACCTGACGCACTTGGGAGTGGAATCACTCTCATCTATAAGCCACCTCTTCGAAGTGCAACACCACAGAGACTGGCTTCTGACACTGATTACCGCGTATCACTCGTACACACGATCGAATGAATAATTGCGAGGTAGGAGAGCGCCCATCCTGGATATCAAGAGGCACGCAGGCAGTGGCCGGACCGCGAATTATAGGCGCACTCTTTCTTGGGTATCCCAACCGCATGCATGAAGGTGCGGCCCTCAAACCTCAGTATCACGAGAGTGCTGCCCCGTCGAACGGTGCTGCTGTGTGCCATAACTACTACGGTAATAGCGTGACCAGTCTCATTACTCTTCATGTGTACGAGGAGTTTGATCCGCAGCGGAGAGGTTTAGGTTGCTGTCTAAGCCATCTCGATATCAGAGCGTAGGAAATACCGTCCTTGTCCGCCTGCCTCGACGAACACAAGGGCATGAAAATACCACTCCCATTATGCCATGCAACTACTTCATGCCCCAACGCCAGACGCAAAACATCCAACCAGAAAATCAACAACACAGAGAGAAGTTTTCGGACCAGCTCTCTTAGTCCTCCTATATGCAATCATCGTAGCAGTCCCAATTTCTTGGCTCGATCGCATGAGGGCGTGGCGTAAGCTGTGGCTTCCTGCATCTTGACTGGATCCTGGAAGAACCAACCCTGAGCCGCATCATACATTCTCCTCTTGTGATTCATCTCGTTCTCGCATTGAAATTGCAGGGTCCTGACCAGTGTCGCCTCGGCTGACCGGTCCAGTTGGCTGAGCTTATTCTTCGAGTACGACTCGACATCCACAGGATTGACAAAGTACGGTACCTTGGAGTTGGAAGTCTCTCGCTGCATGGTGTATGGTGGTGAGGGGGTATCAAAGTGCATTTGAGGAGTAGATGATCGGCCCGATTCGCCGGAGAAGAGACCGCTGAGGATGGGGAAGACGAAAAAGAGCAACAGGGGAAGCATGCCGAGCAGAGGTGATAAACCGCCTTCTGCCTGTCCCTGCTGCCCTTCCCTTGGTCGTCTCCGTGGTCGGCCGCCGCCGAATTGATGTACTCGGAAACCTGGTCCACCGCCAAAGTTGAAGGCAAATTGCGGCCCCGTGTCGAAGCCTAGGAAGTCATCAGCAATGTATCCGGCCAGTTGTCACAGCCGGGCTTGCTTACCACCGAATGGACCGCCGCCGAACCCGCCGAAGCCACCACCTCCTCCAAAGAACCGTTGAAACATCTCCTCAGGCGTCATCTCCTCGCCCTGGAAACCTCCACCGAAGCCGCCACCGCCTGGTGCGCCACCGCCGCCTCTGCTCGCGAATCCGCTGAAAGGATTTTGGGCCTGCGCCTGGCCGAAGCGTGAGTCAGGGTCTACACCAGATCTGTCGAAGCGTTCCCTCTTCTCCTTGTCGCCGAGCACGCCAAAAGCACGGCTCACCATCTTGAAGGCCTCGTCGGCGTGTTCGTGACCGTTCTTGTCGGGGTGCGTTAGGAGCGATAGCTTGCGATACGCCTTCTTTACTTCGCTGTCGGTCACAGTTTTCTTCACCTCTTCGAGGCCAAGAATATCGTAGAACGCCGTCGGCGAGCACTGGCGGATGCGGATGACGGCAGCTTTTTGTTCGACGGTATAGGAGCGGCCCTGGTTTCCCTGCTGATGTTCTCGACTGCGGGCATTGCTGCTGCCGGCGTCCGCGCCGGACGCCTTTGCGCTCGACATTTCGTGCAATTCGGAGAATATGCTAAGTGGATATGTTGATGTATGTGGTGTGCGATTCGGCGGGTGGCCTGTGATGGTGTAGGGTGGAATGAATCGCGGGGTTGCAAAGGCTAGCGATTCCTGGACAAGAGGTCGTAGGTGGCTTCTTCACAAATCTTTCCCACAATTGAGTGAGGTCGCTCGGATTGTTTGCTCGTGTCCGTCGAGATCCAGTGAACCTAGACACCAGAAGCGATCGAGTTTTGGACTCAGATTTGGTGTGTACCAGTTGCGACAGAAAACCGGGATGCCGCAGGCTGGTCAGCTCGTGCTTGCGAACAGGTATGTCGAGGCAAAGACTCGACTAGATTGACATTGACATGGCGGCAACCGCACGTGCTTGGCTGGTCTGACCGGACCCTTAGAATCGCCTGTTCTGGCCTGCTTAGTCACCATCCATGCAGCAAGCGTCACCTTCGTCACCCCAACCAGACGTCAACGTCTGGGGTCATTCCTGGCATCATCAGTTTGGCCGTCGTAGAAAGCAGCCATGTCATCACCACAGGAGAAGCCTGGCACCACGCCGGGCGCGGCCACGCTGCCACAAAAGTTAACGAACTGGGGCAGTAGGTCTCTCCCTTTCCTCTCCGTCAAGGACGGTTGAAAGCTGACTTCTCTAGCGTCCTGTATGCCGCCCGCGATCCATGCCATCCTCATTGCCGCGCTTCACGGCAAGCCAGTTCAACCACTACCCCTTCTGATAGCGCCAGCTCTGCTTTTCAGCTCTTACGTCTCTCTAGCCGGCTTCCCCACCGACGCTGCTGGCCTCACCTGCGCGTGGTCCGGCATTTATACCCTCCTAGCGCTACGGCGGCGGCAGCCCATTCGCAGCAAATTCTCGGCCCGCGGTGTTGTGCGAGCTGGCGCTCTGTCGCTTGGTCTTGCCAATTGTGTCGCTGGTGGGTTCGCCTACGCAGGAGGCAACCGCAAGATCGACGAGATCGCGCGGAAGGAGCGCAATCGCTGGGCCGAGTAACAGGTGACTAGCGACGACCTGTCGCTGAATAACCTCCACGTGCTTTTGGGTGATGATGTAGAAATATTGCAAGGTGCGGCGTTGGTTGGAATTCTGCAGCCGATGGAGGGAGGGTAATGGACTCTTATATTTGTCGACGAAAAGAATCGGTGGAGACAACAAGCACGTCATGGCGCAACTTGTATAATGTTGGGGCTGAATTCAATGTATTACTTGCGAGACAGTCTCAACAATGAACTGTACAAACAAAATGCTAAGGGTACGAGTACGCAAAATGGGCGAGCATCCTCTCCAACCCTACAAACGCCGTTCGGAGACATCTCAGCTCTTGATCAGTCGCCTGGTCTCTCTATCGTCGCACATTGAACGAATCGTTCGTGCCTCCATAAAACCTTCCCGAAAGCAACCGGCGGACTCGCCCGAGGTGGTGTAGCTTGGCTCTGGCCGAAAGGCAGCATACTCATCACTTGAGCGGTGTGACGTTCCTTGCCGATGTTGAAATTCTGCTGCCCGAGACCGTCCAGAGCACCAACACGCAAAATGCGAAAACGGTGGCGCGAAAGAAATTCCGCACCCTGTATCGCATACTGGCGGCGTGTACGTGGAGATTTGAAAGATCGTCGACGGCAAAGTTGGTGATGTAAGCAATGTCACAATCGCGTACCTTTGGCTCCGCAAAGGACCTGTACTCATCCAAAACGTTGCTCACGTCCCAGCCTGACAGCTTCCGTACCACAGCGACTACGCATCCAGTGCGATGCTAGATGGACGTCAGCATGAATATGGGATTAGAATAGTTTCATTCAACGCAACCCTACCTTTCCGTGATTGCAGTGAATCATCAATGGATACTGTTGCTTGTCTAGAACGATTCGCAGGATGTCTCTCATCGTCATAAGAGGAATGCTCTGCTTTTTGGTCCCCTTCATTTCAATGACGTGATGTCGGATAGAGTTTGAAGCCAAAAAGTTGGCATAGAACTCGTCAGGTTCATCCTTTCGTCCCAGCGTTCTGTGTTACCTGTCAGCTTTGGCTGGGTCTATAATGTTCATTTTGGGGGCGTGGTCCTACACAATGGTGCGAAGACCGAGGTTCTTGACAAAACCGAAGTCTTCGGGCTTCGGGTAGCTGCTGCGGTACACACCAGGCACCACAATACCGAAGTTCACTGGACGACCCTTTTCAGGTACATGCCGCTTGAAAGCCAGGTCCGTAGGTACAAGGGGCAGGGCTGGGCGGAGATCGGCATGTGCAGAGTGGCGGACACAGCGAGATAGTTCGCATTGGGCCTCAAGATCCTGCACCGCGCTCTCGCATGTCACCCCAGTCATGTTCTTGGACGTCTCAACAGCAGTATCAAGGGGGTGAGAAGATTCGTCAGACCCACGCCGAGATAGGGTTTTGTAGTTGGATCGCTTCTCGAGGGTGTCCTTGGCCGCTGCGTCTTCCTCCTTCGTCCTTGTGTGTGCCCAACGAGTCTCGTTCTCGGTGACGTGGTGACCGTCTCCCTCAAACGTTCTCGCACTGCGTTTCGAAGCCATTCTTGATCCAGGGCAATGGTTGAGGAATATCGTGTTGGTAGGTTGCTGTGATCGAGTAAGTGGTGAGATGAGGAGGCTGATGGTCAGAAAATGTCGTGGTGGCGTGACACGATGCCGGGTGCAACAAGTTAAACGAGGCAAGTGGTCGTGTGAGGGACGATGTACGTTCGTAGGAGGAATAATCGATGTGCTGAATGGATCCAGCAGGAAGCCAGCGAGAAAGACGTTGGAAGTTGCTTGGTCTCTCTTCGTTCGCGTAGCATTACAGGCGAACAGCGCAGACGCGGCTGGAGGCAAGTTGGAGATTGTAATCCATCTTGTCGAGTGTCTTATGGGATTTAGTCGATGCTCGATGCGTTTCCTCCAGTCCCCCGACAGAAGAAAGGAAAATGCGGTGCTTCAAAGACGTACGAAGAGGCGTTTCCGTGCGAGGGGAGTGAAATAAACGGCGAGCGGCTGACCCTCACGGCGTCTGCGGAAGTGTATGTCGTCGATGCTAGGGACGAGGAATAGCCAGCGACGGCAAGAAGGGCAAGGTGGGAGAGATGAGAATTAAGCGGGTCCTGTCTGCAGCCATCGTTCGCTGTGCCTACACCCTGGCAATTGGGGGCGCTTGACCTAGGCGCGTGTTCGCGGTGTGGCCGCGGCGTTTTTTTCGCAGTAGCCTTTTGGGGCGGATTGCAGTGAGGTGGGGAGTGGGGGAGTCACTCTTAGTGAGGTTTGTGTGGTAATTTTCTCCTGCACGGTGGCTCGTGCTTGCCCTGGATCGATGTGGGGGTTCCAGCGCCCCGTCACGCCTGCGTTCGCTCTACCTTGCGTGGCAGGTACCTGTGCAGGTAAGAACCTTGGCCGCTGCGGCTGCTACGACAGCCGGCGGAGCGAACACCTCGTCACTGTTGTTGGGAAGGCGGAAGCTTGCCATCATCTCCTGTCGCACGTCAAAAGCTTCGTTCACAAGAAGCTTATTAGTCGCCACAATATCTGCTCCTCCAAATAACTCACATCCTCCAAACGCCGCACGGATGACGCCCACCAAGTTCTCAAGCTGCGTAGACGGATGGTGTTGTTGCTACCTGAACAAACCTCCCGCCGTCGAACCTTGTGCCGGTCTTTCCGAGGCGATGGTCGAACCATTAAAGCAGCCAAGGCGCCTGCTAGTAGTCCCTAGCAGGGAGGCCGTTGCCAGTTGCATTTTGCTAGGGGCTCTGCTTACGAAGGCCGATGTGGTGTTCCCAACAACCCTGAGCACTGTAGACATGCTTGTCTCATGTCCACCTCCATCGTCGATCACCAACAGCAGCGTTCCAACAGCGTGCCGGCTGCAAAGATCCGCGCCATGCCTTGTCTTTCGTCAGCCCTGCTTCGAGTGCGCCTGATGCCTTGAAGACCTCTCAATTGCGTCGTGGCCGATTCGTCTGGGCCAGGGGGGGTGTCTGATCTGATCTGATCTGCCTCGCCTGTATCAGCCTATTGACGCAGTCGCGCCTCTCTCTAACCATCTGCTGGTGTGTGACTGGTGCCAGCGTGCAGCAACAACGCCAGCGTGACACTCTCTGAGTGGATTGAGTGGCTGGCTGCGGTGATCCTCTCGCCCCCAGAACGCGACGTCGCGGCTCTCACTGGACCATAGCCCCTGATCGGCCGCTGTTTATCACCCACTCACACCAACGTCCCTGGATTCCCGAAGGGAACTGCGTACCCTTACACCAAGAGATACAGTACACCTAGCACCATTCAGCCCAAAACTTCAACTGTCGTTTCAGCATGAGATGAATCGGGACAGATTCTCCATAGCACGAGTCGTACATAAAAGTCCTAAATAGTACCCTGGTTGTTGGCTGCTCACGCCTGAAAACGGATTCGATGATCTATGGTCCAAAAACACATCTATCGTGCCTGTCCGGAACGAGCGATGCAGAGAATGCTTGAGAGAGGAATACGTTCGATTGTCACCCCCCCCCCCCCCCCCCCCCCAACCACGCGTTTTCCCCCGCCGAGTATTGCGAAACGATATTTAATCACGTTCATACACCTGTAGGCCCGGTACACATGCCAGCCGTTTAGGTGCCGATCATCGGTACATTATGAATGCAGTAGCTATAACCACGGATGATGTGTGTTTTGATTATTGATCATTATCGTAGCCTCTTCATCGGCAATTCCCATCCTGTCCTCATGAGACCGCCAGGCCACAACTTGAGTTTTGAGCGAAAGAGCATGTACCACCCTAGGTACCTTTCAATGTTATACCCAATTAATCCAATGACACCCCACCTAGCAGTCCCCGTCTCCTATAACGCCTACAAATCCACTCACTACGGCGTCGTCCTCTAGACTGCCATGTTGACTAGCCCATGGCAGAGCATCAGACTCATCACCACCAGACCTTGCACGCCGAACGCCTCGCGTTCATCGCCTCGCGGCGTAGCCCAAACCTGGAATGACAGTATGCAAGCTGCCGCCACCTCAGCAACGCCCAAAATCGAGTTGGCCATGGCAAGCTGGCGAGGTATCTGGCCGATTCGGAACCCATAAAAAGCGTCGCTGGTCAGGTGCAGAGCGACAGCGACACTGAGCGCCATGGAACCGAGCATCACATCCCAGGTGTAGGTGTACGGTGCCGACGTCACATGCAGCCAGGATGCGATAAGGCTGCCTAGGGTAAATATATCTATGAAACGGTCGCGAGCTGCAGGGTTCCTCAGCGGCCGAATCATCTTCATCTCTATTTCTGGTCTCTCCCTGTTTGCACTGTCTTGGTCGGAGTCTCCGTCCTGGCTGAGGTTGAAGCTCGAACCTAACATGTCGGCCAGCGTGCTCCGTGGATCGCTGGGATTGGACTTGGGCGAAGCAAAGAATGATGGTTGCGCGAAAGACACCTTGCGCTTCGACTTGTTGCTATCACTTGGGCGAGCGCCTGTGTTCAACGGCTGACTGTTCGTCGGGAAGAACACAGCTTCTGGCCCTACAGGCTTGCTCCTGAGAATAGGGTTGGAAGCCTTGCGCAATCTTTCCGCAGGAGTTGTCGGCGCGGGCGGCACCTTGTACCAGAATGGACTAGCCGAGGGGTTCGTGGGAGAGTCGCCAAATGCTTGGCTTTGGCGTCCAGGTGTACCGAAATCATTGAAAGCACGATGCCTAGACTGCGTGGGAGACCATTCCATTTCTTCCGAGTATTGCACAGGAGCGGCGGCAGTAGAAAGGCCAAGGGAGCTGATCCCAGAAATCGGTTGCAGCTCTGGGTTAGGCGAGGTGGCTTCTTTCGGCGAGGGACTTGGCCTCGTTGGTATCACCATCGACGCTTTTGGCGTCTCGTGGAGTATGTCATCGAGTAGATTTGACAGGCTCTTTGTCCCTGTGTCGGTCTCTATCGCAATGTCCCGAGGCCGGGCTGGCGAAAGTGCCAAAGGCGTCGAGGAAGACGGGAACAGTGGTGTTGTGTCAACATGTACTGACTTTTGCGCGAGTGCGTAGAGCTGGCATAAATGGTCAGCCAAGTCATCAATAAGGAAGTCGCAGACTTACAACGACAACCACAATGGCAAGCAACGCGTGTAGACTAATTTGAGCGCTGGTTCGACCTTCTCCGGCACCAGAAAAACCGGTTATCTTAACACCGAGAAATCGCACTAGCAGGACCAGTCCTTGAAAAATATACCACTGGGAAAGACCGTGGATATGTTTTGAGAAGCCGCGGAAGACCTGGGCGAATTTTGGGTTCCACCAAATGCAGAGCAGGTTGGCCCAGAAACTCATGCGTACCAACACAGAAGATTGAGGGAGGGCATCTGCCATCCAGCGGAGGACGGAAGTCCATGCTGGTGGGAGCTCGTCTGGGTCACGCAAAGGCCCAGTTGTCGTGGTCGACAGCGCATCGGCCATTATCGCGAAGTGCCAGAGCAACTGGCCCGTCAATCCAGCGAGCCAAAACCACCGTCCAAGTGTGTCAGCCATGTCGAGAGCGGTCCATCGTTTCGGAGAGGCGCGCCGCTGCCTACTCCTCTCCATCATGCGCCGCAGATGATCGGTCCGCGCAGTGTAGCCAGCCTGCTGCACCTGAGCCAGGACCTTGGGTTCACAGTCTGTACATATTTGCGGGTACCGCTCTTCGAGCCGTTGTCGGAACTTGTAGTAATTCTTCTCGAGCTGCGCGTATTCGGGATGATCGGGATCTTCCGGGAGATATTGCGCCAGGGATGCGGTGAATAGATGTTGGTTCTTGAGACATGTCGAACAGAATATGCTTTGTGCTTGCGCCGCTGGCTCGGGGGACTGCGACCGTGGTATGGCGTATTGTGTGGGCTGAGTTGTTGAAGTTGTTGATGCAACAGGAGGATCGGTGATTTCGCCATTCTTCGAAAGCTATTGTATCAGATGATGACACGTATGGAATTTTTGTCATGCCCTCACCTCGTCGAGATAGTTCGTTGCGTCGCACTTCAAGCAGAGGAAGTCACTGATGATACCGTTGAACTTGACCGAGGAGCGTTTGCCGCAGTAAAAGCACGTCAGGTTGCCCCTTGATCTGAGGCTCGCCATTGTACTCGGAGTCCGTAGTACCATGACAGGCAAAATGCCATTTATGTCAAAGCTCCGTCTTATGTTGAAGGAACGTTGAACTCCAAGTGGCCTGGTGTTCCTTGCTGATCTTCTGGAAATTATGCCGGGCGGTCAGGCGACTTTTTTGTAGGTTGACCTGTAGCTTCTTGTTAATTGCTGGGACCCTCCAGCTCAGGGTCGGAGTGATGTCACCTTCTATGCGGGTGGAACTGCAATCACGTGATGAGTAAGCACCACCTGCCCCCGGTTCAGGCACCCGCACCTACCTATCCATTGGCAAGGACTTACAGGAATTGGTGTACCAATCACATGACAGGCAACACCTGGTGCCCATCGTTCACCCAATCTACCTAGGTACCTACAAGTACCTACCTTACCTTAGGTAGGTACCTTAGGTACCTTGGACGATAAATCTTACGGCCTACCTATACCAGAGAGCAGACGAGTGTTGCGGGAGACGACTTCATAGCCTGCAGCAAACTGTTCACTTCATTGCCCGGGATAACAGCACAGCAGAACCGCCGGACGGCGACGTCACCGCCCAACGATGTCATCCAAGTCAGCAGGGCTTTTTCTGCTAAAGACTGTAGCAGTTTTCTGTTGCATCGGACTTTGTGCCCTTCTTTATTCCTCGTGGATTGTTTTTGCCGCCTTGTCCGTATCTGGGATCTCTATATCTGCAGTCTTTGCTTTTGTGCGTATCATTTCATCCTTCTGAGTGAGAACGCACTAAACGATATAGGTACGCCACAACCAGCTTCATAAGACCCGAGAAAACCACCCCATCAACCTAGAAACTGCGAGGAGTCATGTGAGCAAGACTACAAACCTTAATGGAGCATATCTTCTCGTCGTCCTGGGCTCAGGTGGCCATACGAAGGAGATGCTTGCCATGCTGGAAATCGGCTTCGCTCCGCTCTCGTCCATTCACCGCCGTTATCTCGTATCGAGCGGAGATGCAATGTCGCTCAAACAGGTCAAGGCTTTTGAAGAACTGGTTCTGAATGCTCACGGCGAGTCTGAAGCTGGAACATACGATGTCCACACCGTTACGCGGGCTCGCAAAGTCCATCAACCACTACTCTCCACGCCTCTTACTGCTCTGTTGTCTGTCTTGGAGATATTTCCTCTCCTGACCAACTCACCGTTTGCCGGTACCCGAAGTCGTCAAAAGTATCCTGATATCATCATTACGAACGGCCCGGCTACAGGTTTCTTCGTAGGACTTGTTGCCCACGTACTGAAACTTTTCTTCCTCGCACCAGAAGACGTCATGCAGATTTTCTATGTAGAGTCATGGGCGCGCATCAAGACTCTGAGCCTCACAGGAAAGCTCTTCTACTACACCAAAATCGCAGACGTTTTTCTCGTTCAGCATGAGTACGTAGCCCAGAGATACGGCGTGCCCAACGCGGGATGTTTAGTGGTAGACCAGGCCAGTAATTGAGATGCTCCGAGCTTTTGCAGCGTATTGTACATTACTCTCGTACGTAGGTATTAATACAACAAGTCGTACACACCCATGAAGGGAGGATCTATTCCTTCTCAGCAGCCTCAACCGCCGCAACATCGTCGTCTGTAGCTTCGTCTCCCTTGCCAAACTTGTGATAGGAGGCACTTCGATCTTGCTCTATCCGGACAACCTCGGACTGTGCCCACTGCTTCCAAGTCTCGTACTGCTTGTCCTCGAGATCCTGCGCGATATCCAGCTTGTTCTTGCCGAAGTAAGCCCCGACGTACCGGGCCTCTTCTCTAGCTACCCTCTTCTCGACCTCCTCTTCCTGTCGCAGAGCGTAGAACTCTTTCCTGGCCATGTCGTAGGCTTGATCGCGTGGCAAACCGGTATTGTTCATGAGCCACATTTGTCTTTGCACGACACTAATGAATGTGTTAGCTTGTTTGAGAATGCTCGTCTCGATTTGCTTTGTTGGCCTTTTCCTGACCTTTCGCCGCTGATCGCCAGTCCGGGTTGCCGCAGGCCACGACTCCAATCACATCGTTGCCAATCCTTTCCATCGAGTTCGAGTACGACTCTCGGGCGCGCCAGCTCCCAAGGATGGTCCTTAAAGAATATCGTTCGTAGTTCATCCTCCTCGTAGGTGATCTGCTGGGGCTTGAATAGGTTTCGAGGCTTCCTGCTCTTGGATGTAGACGCCTGGAGAACGGTCGCTCGCGACCTTATGACTGTCTCGGTAGGGGGGATCGACTTCAGGGCCTTGTACCATGGCGGCGCCTGGACTTGATGTTGCGGCAAGATTCGGTGGCCCAGCTCTTCGGTGACGGTCTGGAAAACCCTGGCGGGACGTAATTGTTTGCCCATCGCAACTGTATGACGAGTGTTGAGAGGGAGATTGTCGAATTGAGAGAATTGACTCACGAGTGACCCGATCGAGGAAGTCTGACTTTGGAGCAAGATCAATTGCTGGTTTACACCTTTCGTCGCGTACTAGGCCATGAAATTTGGAGCTTCGGTCAGGAGGATCCACCATCCTGGTCACAGCCATGCATATATCTTGCACATGCATATATGGATACATGTCCATGCACGTAGGAGATTCGCCTTGTAAAATCTCCCCGAACTCTCTCATCGGCACAGCCTGTCTTCAACACTTCGACGACCATAGATTTCCCCCTTCCGTCACGGCCGCGCGAGACATCCGACATTGCCGAGCTGGGAGGAAGCTGGCAGCCCCCCATCGAGATGCCGGACAACTGATGAAAGCTCTCAGAGGCTTTGACGGGTCGCTACGCGGCGCGATCCGTTCGAAACGACCGTCGAACTCGCCCACCATTGGACCAACACCAAAGCTGCGGGCTCGCGAACGATCCAGAAAGTCCGCACGCACAGCCAGAATACAAGCAACACCATCTCCCACTGTATCCTTGACGTGCAAACCGTCTTTGCAGATTCCACACTGCCCTCTTACAGCATCATGGCTTCTTTCGACATTCCTGCCAGGACCTTCACGCATAGTCGTAAGCCGCTCTACGTCAAACCCGTCCCCTGGACGCCGCCAGCAATGCCGCCAATATGGCCACGCTGCCGCGATCGCGTCTTGTAGTGCCCAGCCCGACCACACAGGATATATGCTGCAGCGGAAGAAGGACCTTCTCGCAGTTGTCGGCGATTACCGCATCGGAGCTGTGGAGGATCACCTCGAGCTCGTCAGAGACCCTTACATGCGGCGGTACGCTCGACCAGATGGCCCGAACCTGACGATATCGGACAAGAAGGAGGACTCGCAGTACCCAAGCTCTGATCAAACGCTTCGAGGCGATAGAAAGGTGGCCAAGGATGCGAACACATTACGCATGAGCATAAGCTTACGCTTGAGACACCCCGGCCACATCGGCCTGAGGACTATCTACCGCCAATACAGCGCTTTGCCGACGCCGCGAATGCTCTACCTGTCGGCAAATTTACGGCACCGTTTGCTCAAGGTTCTAGGCACACCCAAGACGAAAAACTCGAAATCAATGCTCCGTTACTTCTCAGTCATCGGCGACGTCAAAGATTGCGGCCTAAGCTTGCAGCGTCGAGAGTGGAATGCCGCCTTGGCACTTGCCAGTCAATACGCACGAAGCATCACCGACGCTGAGGCGGAATCAGGATTGCACCTTTGGAACGAGATGGAGAAGAGCGGCGGACACTTGGGCAATGGAGTGACCTTCAACATTTTATTCGACGCAGCGGCAAAGTCGGGCAATTTTACCCTGGCCGAGCGCATATACAAGGAGATGGAATCGAGAGGAATTGAGTTCAACCGGTACCACCACGTCAGCTTGATTCACTTTTTCGGCCTGCGAGGCGACGTTGACGGTATACGGGCCGCATACAAAGAAATGGTCGAGGCGGGGGAGATGATCGACACCGTCGTGCTCAATTGTCTAATTGCGAGCTTCTTCCGTGCAGGAGACGAAGACGCCGCCCTTCGAGTCTACGATCACATGAAGAATAGTGGCTCCAAGGGCGCAACAATTCCTTCCCCAGACTATCACGCAAACAGGGTCGTTGCCCAAGTTCTCATAATGTTTGGTAAGGTCGGACAGCAGCATCCTGCTATGCGATCGTCCTTTCAACAACTAGCAAGCACGACACCTGATCTCCGCACATATCGCATACTCATACGACATCATGCCATCAAGGGCAATCTCAACCGCGTCGTTCAATTCCTCGACGAGATGAAGCGCTTCGATGTTCCCTTGCACGGCGCCATATTTCTCCTTTTATTCAAGGCATTTGCGAACCACGGGGGCCACAGACAGTCCGCCTGGGCCAAGGACCGGCTTCAGAACCTCTTCTCAGCACTGCTGCAAGCGGTTGACAACGGTGTCAACAGTCTTTACATAGACACGTGGCTTGCCGGCTGGGCTCTCAAAGCGTGCATGCGATGCGGTGACGAGAGTTTAGTCCTGAATACATACGTTGAGCTCAAGGCACGATGGCAATTGTCGCCGGATCGGGAAGAGTACATGGAGCATTTCTTGCACCAGCTGCTAAACGACAGTCACACCGGGTGGTCAAAGAAGCTTGGCCACCGCAAGGCGCCTAACAAGCGGGTATTGGCCGCGATGTAATACCATTCCATGTACCGATAGATAGATGAGATACCATGTAGACAACGGCTTGTAATGCCTCTTAGATATTGCATGCGATACGGTCGCAATATGAACGCTTTCAAAGCCTTGTTGGAATATGTTACTGGGCGAACAAAAGAGGGTCAAGGTGCGGACCATAATCTGACTGGCGAAAAAACAATGCGCAAGGGTCACTCTGAGGTAAATCGTCGAAGGATGGCAGTGTCGGGAAGACTGTTTGTTGTTGGGTTCTGTCGTGAGAACTCGTTCATGTTCCTTCTCAGCCCGAAGGTAGCCACACGAATACTATCATTACCAACAATTCTTCGCGTTTCTGATCGAGAAGAGCCTTTAGGAATAACAAATCGCTTCAGTTGAGTCCAGCGATAGGCACGGGCAGCAGCCTCTATTTGGCCTATTTACACAGCTACTCCTCCTGCACGCAACTCTGCTTGGCCCTACATCTTACACGCATTGCAGCTCGTCTTCGGTCTCTGATAGCCGAGCAAGCTTATGCCTCCGGGGCCTTGCTCTGCTTCCAGGCTGTGGAGCTGAAAGTTAGTAGGGAAACCCATATGCCGTGTCCGGGGGAGGGAAAACCACTCACCAGCAATGCCGAAGGGAATACCGAAACCGGCGCCCATGAAGCCCCAGAAGATGAAGGGGAACACCTTGGACTTGGGGTTGAAGGGGATGTTGGATCTGGGACCCTCGGGGTAGTGGAAGGGCGAAGACATCTGGGAACGGGTCGCGTGGAAGCCGCGGCGGGCGACGACCGAAGGCGCCTGCGTAGCAGCGCGGGTGACGGCAGCAGAGAACATCTGTGGAGTCAATGGTTAGCGTCATGAGGTCTCTGGGAGGTTTTGATCTGTATGCGTGCCTTGACGATTGAGCTTTAGGGGTGCGGAGGGTACAATGGCTGGTAGAAAATCCGGTCGTGATGGTGCTGTCGCAGGCTTGTCCGGCTATTCGAGTGGTCTGAGGCAATCGATGAAAGCTCTCTAAAGTTACATAAGCCCACGTGACTCACCCGCCCAGTCCCGAAAACTGCTGACCACCTCAATCGCAGAGACATGGCCAACGCATTGACCATGCTAAAACCAAGGCCCCTTGGCTGTACGTCACCGCCCTGCCCTTGAGCTCCCAGTTCAGCCAATTTTTATTTTTCTGCCACCCTGTCGCGGGTTCGTGCATTCTTTTGCGCCTGCAACCTCCTCTTGTAACTTTTGGCTATCGAATTCATCTTCCATTTCTTGCGCAACCTGCATGACCGCCCGTCGGCTCTGCCTTTTGCAATGGACGACCTGTTTGATGTCTTCGAGGGCAATCCTCGGGCAGAGACTTCAGAACTCAGCGAGCCCGAGGCCGCGCCCACCGGCGTCAAACCATCCAAGAAAAGCAAGAAGGACAAGAGCAAGAAGCGCAAGGCCGATGGCATCATAAAGTCTCAGCCAACAACCGAGGCTATTGACACCGAAATGGTAGACGCCGAGGATGATGCAAAGAACGGCGATGAATCGGAGGATCCACAGGTTGACGCCGAGGACAACGATATCAACGAGAGCAACAAGCGCCGCAAGAAGGATGAAGAACCTGAGCCCGTCTTGACCGACAGCTTCCAAACGGCCGAGTCGCGTCAGGTGGCTGGCGCACAAGCATTTGCGCCTGACGAGGGGGATTCCATGGTCCTGTCCCACAACATCCAGCATCAAGTCGCGCTACCTCCCGATCTCGACCACGAGTACATCCCCCTCTCCGAACACAAAGCCCCCGACGAGCCCGCCAGGACATGGAACTTCAAGCTTGACCCTTTTCAAAGCCTTTCGGTTGCGTCCATCGAGCGAGATGAGAGTGTTCTTGTCTCTGCGCATACCAGTGCCGGCAAGACGGTTGTTGCCGAATACGCCATTGCGCAGTGCCTTAAGAGGAACCAGAGAGTCATCTATACCAGTCCCATTAAGGCCCTCAGCAACCAAAAGTACCGGGACTTTGAAGCCATGTTTGGCGATGTCGGCCTCATGACAGGCGACATCACTATCAACCCCACCGCCAGCTGTCTTGTAATGACGACGGAGATTTTGCGGTCTATGCTGTACCGTGGCTCTGAGATCATGCGCGAGGTGGCTTGGGTTGTCTTTGACGAGATTCACTACATGCGTGATAAGACCCGCGGTGTCGTATGGGAGGAGACCATTATCTTGTTGCCTGACAAGGTCCGATATGTCTTCTTGTCAGCCACTATTCCGAATGCCTTCCAGTTTGCCGAGTGGATTGCCAAGATCCACAAACAGGCCTGCCACGTCGTATATACGGATTTCCGACCAACACCCTTACAGAACTACTTTTTTCCAGCCGGCGGCAAAGGCATCTACCTCGTGGTTGACGAGAAGGGAGTCTTCAAGGAGAACAACTTTCAAAAGACAATGCAAGAGGTTGAGCAATCCAAGGGCCAAGATCCCGGCGACGCGAACGCCAAGTGGAAGGGAAAGGGCAACAACAAAAAGACGCAGAAGGGCGGCGGCGCCGATCCCAAAGCCGACATTGTCAAGATTGTACGCATGATCATGACCAAGAAGTTCCAGCCCGTCATCGTCTTCAACTTCAGCAAGCGAGAGTGTGAGAATCTTGCTGTTGGCCTGTCGAGCCTGCAGTTCAATACCGATAACGAAAAGGCAATGGTTCGCCACGTCTTCAACAATGCTATCAAGAGTTTGTCCGATCAGGATCGTGAGCTTCCTCAAATTTCGAATCTCCTGCCTCTGCTCGAGCGCGGCATCGGCGTCCATCACTCTGGCCTCCTGCCCATTCTCAAGGAGACGATCGAGATTCTCTTCCAGGAGTCCCTGATCAAGGTTCTCGTTGCAACTGAGACGTTCTCGATTGGTCTCAACATGCCTGCAAAGACTGTTGTCTTCACACAGGTGACCAAATGGGACGGCGTCAAGACCAGGCCTCTTACACCATCCGAATATATTCAGATGTCTGGACGTGCCGGTCGTCGTGGTCTTGACTCCCGCGGCATCGTTATCATGATGATCGACGAGAAGATGGAGCCTGACACGGCCCGTGGCATTGTTGTAGGTCAACAGGATCGTCTCAATTCGGCCTTCTACCTGGGTTATAACATGATACTCAACCTTCTGCGCATCGAAGCCATCTCACCTGAGTTTATGCTTGAGCGCTGCTTCCACCAGTTCCAGAATGCCGCCAGCGTACCAGACCTAGAACGAGGACTCGTGCAGCTTCAACAGGAGAAGGACAACTTTGTCATCACGGATGAATCGACAGTCAAGGATTATTACAACATCAGAACCCAACTTGAGCAGTTCGCCATGGATATGCGGGCTGTCATTCAACATCCGTCACACTGTCTCGACTTTTTACAGCCTGGCCGCCTTGTCCGCATCTACAACCCGAAGCTTCAGGAGGCTAGCCTCGACGGAACGGACTTTGGCTGGGGTGTCGTTGCCAATTTTACTAAGCGCCGCGCTCCCGATAGTAGAAAGGGCGAGCCCGAGTACCCGCCACAAGAGTCCATCATGATTGATGTTATGCTTCCCATCTCGCCTGACAGCGATGAGATCACACAGGGCTTCAACATCACGACCGAGATGCCCAAAAACGTTTACCCCGAGTCGACTTCGAACAGCCCGGCCCGTTTTGAGATTGTCCCTTGCCTCTTAACCTGCCTGAAGAGCATCAGTCAGATCCGCGTTTTCATGCCTAAGGATATCAACTCACAAGCTAGCAAGGACCAGGTTCGCAGATCTTTACTCGAGGTCACACGTCGTTTTCCAGATGGCCTGCCGATCCTCGACCCCATGGAAAACATGGGCATCAAGGATGATTCCTTCATCAAGCTCCTGCGCAAGATTGAGGTTCTCGAGTCTCGCCTTCTGACGAACCCACTCCACGGATCGCCCCTTTTACCGGAGCTCTACCTGCAATATCGCGCCAAGGTCAAGCTCGGCGAAGAGATCAAGGAGAAGAAGAAGGGCATCGCCAAAGCACACAGTATATCACAGATGGACGAACTCAAGGCTCGCAAGCGTGTTCTACGTCGCCTCGGCTTCCTCAATGAGAACGAAGTTGTGCAGCTCAAGGCCCGCGTCGCCTGCGAGCTGTCGTCTACCGAAGGCCATGAGCTCATCCTCGCTGAACTTCTTTTCGACAGGTTCTTCAACGAACTGGCGCCTGAGACGATTGCTGCCGTGCTAAGCTGTTTCGTGCTCGATGAGAAACTTGAGGCTCAGCCGCTCAAGGAGGAACTTGACAAGCCGTTCCGTGCTATTCTTGCCAAGGCTAGGCAGGTCGCCAAGGTCAGCATCGAGAGCAAAATGGATATCAACGAAGAGGAGTTTGTCGGAAAATTCAAGTGGCAACTGATGGAGACGGTGCATGCATGGTCTAACGAGAAGTCTTTTGCCGATATTTGGTATGTGATATTGCCCTCTCCGACCGATCCTAGCTAATCACAGGCATAGCAAAATGACCAATGCTTACGAGGGCTCCCTCATCCGTCTGTTCCGCCGCCTTGAGGAGCTGCTTCGCCAAATGGCCCAGGGCGCCAAGGTTATGGGCTCTGAGGAGCTACAAGTCAAGTTCGAGGCGAGTTTGAACAAGATCCGCCGCGACATTGTTGCAGCGCAGAGCTTGTACCTGTAAGGTAAGTTTTCTTCTCGACAATCATCACTCAGCCACACGTTATGCGGGGTTACATAACACCCGAGTGGTGGCAACAGTCCAGGGACAGGTCAGGAGTTTCGGGTGGAATATACCAGTAGCTTTTTTGTTCTCGACAAAAATGGGAGCTTGGGTGTGTGCATGCGCCGACGCCCATGCTCCAGGCCGCCAATCAAAGTAGCATAATGGCCTTCTGCGTGCCCTTGTGGCGCCCCCTCTGTGTATGTGTGTTTATGTGCGTGATGACCACTAGATGCAGTATGATCAATGCAGTACGCTGTGCCCTGAAACCAAAGGACGCCTGAGCCAATGGATCCAGTGTCACTGCTCTCCGCCAAAGAGGGCTCTCATGAGACCGACAAATGCGCTGAAGGAAATACCAAAACCAATCCACACACGCCATCGTTGTGAAAGCATGCCATCCTCACGTGTAAGCCAGGCCAGCCCGCCAAGGGGCCAGAAAAAGCCCATGAGCATTCCCTTGACGAGCCCATCGAGTTGTTCGTGCATAGAGCCAAGCGAGTCGTGCGCCACTGGCTCCTCGCCAGCTGCTGTAGTCGCCGTCACGCCACCGCCTCCCGGCACCGCGTTCCCGCCGTTGGCGTCCATCCACAAATCTTCCATGTTTCGCATCGAGTCGGGAGACGGCATCGTGTCGGGGGTATGTCTTTGTGCTTGTATATCGGTAAACTGTAGTCGGAGTTGCGACACCTCAGCCTGCGTGAAGCCTGCCGCGAGAAGACGATCGAACCCCCGAGACGGGTGGTGTGAGTTGGGTGTGCTCGGTCTCGCTGCGCCTGTCGCCGGGACATTCGGGGCAGCTGATTTCGAAGACGTCGCTGCCACAGGTATCTGAGCCGCTTCGACCTCACTGGCCAGTTCTTCGGCCGAAAGTTCGTCTCCGATGCTGCAGATCACGTAGACGCGTTGCTGCTCCTCGTCTGCCTGGCCAGCGACAGCCTTGCCTTTGCCTTTGGTCGCAACATCTTGATGAACGGCTGTGATGGTGCTCGAGCGAGGAGTCGGTGGTAGTAACGCAGCCAACGCTGCGCTATCCAGCAAGATCTTGCCTTGATAAATCAAGCGCAGCCGGTTGGCATTGTAGGGGGGTTCGAGCTGTGTGCGTATCAGGTTCTTCAAGGCGACTATGGTAGTCGATGCAGGCGAGGGAATGTCTAATGTGAGATCAGGTAACGAAGAGCTGAATCGAATCGTGAGTAGAAGCGCGGTTGGCCGCAGCTTGGAGAGCGGAGCAGCCATATCAAGGGTCGCGTCTCGCGACGCAGATTGACGCTGGGAAATGTTGATGTGATGCTGAGCCGGAGACAGTGACAAATATTACCGATGACAAGCGCTTGTGCAACACCCCGGGGGCGGTGATACATAGAGAAGCCCCGCGATCTCAGTTGCGATAGTACCCCACTGCCCCCATACACCCACCCCTCTGCCTGACACGTTCGGGTAGGCGCATCTCCACCCCTATCCAGCCCCGACAATCGGGGGGTTAATGGGATGGCGTAATTTGACGATGCCGAATGCCCATTGGGACATCAACGGCTCTGAATGGGGCAGCAGCAGTCACATCCAGGACCATTTGAAATCAAGTTGCTCATCCTTTGCATTCTGCACATCTGCCACATGAACCCTCTTACCTTCGCCCTTCGATCGAGCGCTGCCAATTGCTCAGCTACGTTGAGCCGTCGAAGTTTCCACTCAAGCAATATGACTCTTAGCAGCAAGTTGAAGCCCGCTGCGCGCGTTTCCGGAAGGCGACAGGATGTCTGGTGAGTGTGAGGAAGTCGCCCAAGAAGGTAGTACTGCTCACCCCGATTAGGTCCATTGTCAACGAGGCTGCCGCCGCCTCGCCCAACCAGCCTATTGTGAACATGGGACAGGGTTTCTTTGGCTACAACCCCCCGGACTTCATCCTTGATGCTGCTAAGCAGGCACTCGACCGCGTCGAGTGCAATCAGTACAGCCCAACAAAAGGCCGTCCTCGTCTGAAGAAAGCCATCGCTGACGCCTATTCCCCTTTCTGGGGCCGCCAAATCGACCCGGAAACCGAGGTCACGATTACGACTGGTGCCAATGAAGGTCAGTATGGTGCGGCCGTTTCTGACCGGCTCATCACTGACATCCATCTTTAGGCATGCTCAGCGCATTCATGGCCTTCATTGAACCGGGCGACGAAGTCATTATTTTCGAGCCCTTCTTTGACCAGTATATCAGCAACATCGAAATGCCTGGTGGCAAGATTACATACGTTCCCCTTCAGCCACCCAAGGACGGTGCCGAGAAGACGTCCTCTGCTGCTGAGTGGTCCATCGATTTTGAAGAGCTTGAGAGGGCCATCACCCCGAAAACTAAGATGATTGTTCTCAACACCCCTCGTTCGTGGCCCTGCTTGTGACAACAGTGCTACTTGCTGACAGCGTCCGCAGATAACCCTGTCGGTAAAGTCTTCTCCAAGGATGAATTGCAGAGAATCGGTGACCTTTGTGTCAAGCATGAGATCATCATCCTGTCCGACGAGGTTTACGACCGGCTCTACTATGTGCCCTTCACGCGCATCGCCACCCTGTCGCCTGAGATCGAACGACTTACCATTACTGTGGGATCGGCTGGCAAGAACTTCTACGCCACAGGATGGCGCGTAGGCTGGCTAATGGGGCCTGCTGAGCTGATCCAGCACGTCTCAGCCGCGCACACCCGTATTTGCTACTCCTCGGTGTCGCCTCTGCAAGAGGCCTGCGCTGTCGGTAAGTGTAATCCCCTGGTCCGAGCGAGCATCACATTAACACTGCGTCCAAAGGCTTTGAGGAGGCTGATAAGCATGGATTCTGGGACGAGTCCGTCGTTGAGATGAAGGGAAAGATTGACCGCTTCAATGAGATATGGAAAGAGCTCGATCTGCCCTACTCGGAGCCCGAGGGTGGCTACTTTGTCCTCGTAAACATGAAGAAGGTCAAACTGCCAGAGGACTACCCATACCCACCACATGTTGCCAGTCGTCCACGCGACTTCAAGCTTACCTGGTTCCTCATTCAAGAGGTCGGCGTTGCTGCCGTACCTCCAACCGAGTTTTACACGGACAAGAATGCCTGGATTGCTGAGGACTACATCCGATTTGCTGTCTGCAAGCCTGATGAGGTCCTTGAGAACGCCAAGGAGCGCCTGCGTGGATTGAAGAAGTACATCGATGCATGAGTACTGTCAAATGAACACGGATTTCAAATATCATTATTGTTCCGCTGGCCAATGAACAATGCTTATTTGTCAGAGACAATTACCGCTTGCAGTGGAGTATCACCTGGTCACAACCCCAAAGGTCCCGTTGTAGGTTGAATTGGCTACCTAGTCACCTGGGACGGATATCCTGAGTGCGATGAACGTCAATGTATTGCAAATTTCAGAACCGTCTCGGGGAAAGTTCCCAGACCAACCTGTCATTCACACTGCTGATTGCTCTTCATGTAAACGACAGCCAAGTTGAGCCCACACAATTGAAGCTCGCTGCAAGCTTGACTATTCTTCAGAGTCCGTTTCCAACGATGTTTGGTCCAACTGTCTTCCGTTTGACATCGATCGATTCGAGCAATGCAGAAAGAGTAAAAGCTAGAGCTCATCCCCACTCTGATGCTCAACCTTGGCCTCACCCTCATCCATGTCTGCAAGAGTAGCCTCTGAATCGGTAACGGCAGCGTTGGCAGAGACAGGAGCCTCGTTGGCAGCAGGTTTAACAGAAGCCTTTTTATTGGCAGGAGCGCGCTTCTTCTTGATCGGGGTCTCGATGGGGGCAGCATCGCCATCATCTTCGTCGCCCTCAGCCATAACCTTCTTTTTGGGAGTGGCACGCTTGCGCTTCTTCTCTGAATCGCCGCCCTCGTTGTTGGCAGCGGCAGCCGCACGAGCCTTGATAGGAGTTGCAGCGGCGGTTCCGACGAACAGTTTCTTCTTGAGGGCGCCCCAGGCATTGGCGGCGGAACGTGGGTTGGTCATACCGGTGGCAGCAGCGAGGCGGACGTGGTCGATCTGGTAGATGGGCAGGGTCAGCACTGAAATTCTAAAGCAAACTGCAAGTCGAGGGCGCGCCACAATCAAGATAGCGTGACATTTACTCACCTCCGGCTGGACTTTCATGCAGCTCCAGGCTTTCGAGAGAATCTCCTGCTCGCGGTCACTCAGCTGCATCTTAGTAGGGGCTGCATTGGAGGCGGCGGGCAAGCTGGTGCCACCCTGACCACTGTTGCTGTCGTTATCAGACATGACAAGAGGGTTTTTTGGTGTATGTATTGGCCAAGTTTAGGTCAAGAAGACAAAGCCGATTTGTGTAGGAAATGCTCTGTTGAGTGACCGAATGTACTTTATGTAAGAACTCAAGCGTGGCCTTGATGGTGGTTGAGTGTTGCGAGAGTTTTCAAGATGGGTGACAGAGATGCACCTAATGGCTAGGAGGGTAGGAACCTAGTGTAGGCAACAGTTTCAATGGGCATGCTCAGCGTATTCAGACTCAAAATTCCGCTCCTTCCTTGAAGACCTTTCCTCCATTCACCGCACGCAGGACTTGCTGGCTTCATCTGGAAATGGCCTTAAGTGGCTTCACCACCTAAGGCAAGGCACCCTGGGCAACCGCACGAGCAAAATAACCTTTGAGACGCCGTGAGAAGCAAGAGGACAAGAAGTTCGGGATTTCTTCGTATTTCACGTCTCAAGTCAGTTGGGCGTAGAATTCGGTTGGTGGTCTTAGTTTCAGGCATTTAAAAAAATAAGCACAAATCATTAGTCACACATTTCCAACACCACACTCAACCAGGATCCGCCTTAAGCGTTTACGAACCGCCTCAAGTCGATCAATCAATTCATCTCGTTTAGATATAATTTGCTGTTGGCTCTATATGCCTTATCACGAGCAACAGCATAGGATCAAACCCCCATTTGGTTCAAAGACATGATTGACCCATACTTGTACGTCTACTTGGTTGAGGTGCTCGATGAGATGGTGTTTTCCGGGAACTTCCTGAAAACGTCGGCAACATGGTCGATCGGTGCCGTCAGGAGACCCATGACGGAGTGCTCGCCAGCACTGGGATGGCTGTGCGAGGGCACAAAGGTCTTAGTCCTCCCGAAACTCTTTGCAATCGACTCGGATTCCCCTTGGGCCGGGCTTAGGACTTCCTCCAGAGCTGGCATCTCCTCCTTTTCCTCCTCGTTGATATGCTCGGCAAGGATAGATCAGAACTGCTTGAGCTTCGAAGTCTGTTCGGGCGTTGGCAGGCTTTAGAGTTTGCCATGTCTTGAGAAGTTCTTTGAACTTGTTTGTATTAGCTTGCGGCTCAAAGTCTACGTGGACGCTGGGCAGTACCTCATGATGTTCTTTTCAATCGCTCTGAGTCATGGATCTGCTCTCTTCACCGAGATGCTTCTCGAATGCAGGGTAGACAACCAACTCTTCGCTAACTGAGTGAAGGGCGAGCTCTCATGAAATGATTGCGGAAACGCTCCTGGTGGTCGTGGTTCGTAGAGTTTACGACCTCATTGTAGTACTGCTCCAGCTCGCGGAGGTTCTGCATAATGGAATCTGAAATGTTCGGCATGGCTGCGGTACTGTATCCGAAGGTGCTTAGTGACATTCGGTAGGTAAAAGATCACGATCGGCCATTAGTCCGGAGCTCTTTTAGCACAATCTCGATGGGTTTCTCAAACGGCGATGTGATCGTGGTTGGCGTTGCAGTGGTCCGCCATTCACCCGTCATGGGCTGCTGCATCACTTTGCTCAGCATGTCAATGGCGGATATTTTGCTCCTGCGTGTCAGCAATAGGTTACGATGAAATCCTCAGCACTCAGAGATGAGCAAATGAAACGAAATGAAGTATTTACAAAGGGCATGGCCTTGTTGATATCAAGTGGGAGGTGATGGAGTGAGGCAATCATGGTCATCATACAGGTACAACCGTAACTACCTTCCCCGAGTATGTACCCGGTATGCGTTAGCTCGGCCTCAATTAAATCGAGAACATGACAAAATTCGGGCAGACCTGACAACGCGTGATTGCAGGCATGACACGGCCCCCCTTTCTTGAACTGGTCCTCGCGTCTACGGTGCCGCCACAAAAGCCCCCATCAGGCAAAACCCCTGCCCTCGCCATTCCTCCCAGCGTTAATAAGCTTAAGCAGATCAAGCTTCGAAACGTCCCAACTCAATCGCGCCCCCAGGTCGAATCGCTCCCGTAGCTCCTCCACACCTTCAATGTCTGTGAAACTAGACTTCTCGGTCAAAGTTTTCATGTTCCCTTTGTCTACACAAACTGTTTGAAATCTTCCTCCCCAGCACTTTCCTCCCCCGCGATTACCAAGGACCGACTGACATGTACCCCAGATTCGATGCCGCCAGAACCGGCCAGCCCTTGCCACCCACGCGCATAGCGGGTCATCTGATTCGAGGAAATTGGCTACGGGGCCATGCCGGAACCACCATCTGTAGCCGCACTCAACGTGACACCTCCGATGCCGAATGGAGTGTAGCCCGCCGGCCTGGTTCTGACGTCTTTGATTGCAAAGGGAAGCTGTGGACAAACGGCCTCAGCTTCGGCCGAGTCACTTGTGACCAGTACTCGGTTTGCAGCTCCAATGTCACCCTTGGCCAAATTTTATTCGCGGATCTTTGACGTTTTGTGGCCGTCCCCCCTCGGTGCGCCAGGGTCTCGGAATATCCTCATCGGACGGGATTACCATGGATTCCATGTCGTGTCCCCGGTACGATGGTGCCATAGGGCTTTCTGGGGCCCTGCCAATCGTGTCTTGATGGCGCCTGACGAGGAAATCAGACGGGCATGGGACTGATCAGGGCAAGGGGTTGCTGACACGATGTGGCCCTCTCGCTCGCCAGACTACAAAAGATCTCGTCTCTTGCCTCTCGAGATCGTCAAAATCGACACACCCTCACCTTCATTCGATTCCTCCATCCTTTCTTTTACTAAGAGGTTGCTGGGCTTCCTCCTCACTTTCTCAGACCCCACCAAACATTTCACCTGGATACGAACACGTCCGGACATCAAAATGAAGTTCACTTCGGTTCTATCCCTGCTTGTCGCCGTCGCCTCCGCGGTGCCCACGCCCACAGTTGAAGAGACCGAGCACGTCCATATCGAGAAGCGCGCCACCATCTCTGAGGCTGCTACACTGGGGTACGCTTCCACCAACGGCGGTACCACTGGTGGTGCCGGCGGTACCGTCACCACCGTCTCCACTCTTCCTCAGTTCACTGCTGCCGTGAACGAGAAGGACGCAACCCCGAGGATTGTTGTTGTGAAGGGAATCATCTCTGGCAGCGCGAACATTCGCATTGGCAGCAACAAATCCGTCATCGGCCTTCCCGGCGCCGGTACGTGTCTCGCAATGGACATTCTTTTCCGCACTAATGCATTTAGGCTTTGACGGCATTGGGCTGTACGCTCGTCGCCAAAAGAACATCATTCTGCGTAACATTATCTCTCGCAACGTTCTCGGCAGTGTTGGCGATGGTTTCAGGATCGACGTACGTCAAAAAGCTTCATCCTGCGTTAAGCAATGCTGACATTTTGTCTTCCAGGAAACCACCAACGTCTGGGTCGATCACTGCGAATTCTACTCCAAGCTTATCGCTGACAAGGACTACTACGACGGTCTTGTTGACCTCACCCACGCCGCCGACTTTGTGACTATTTCCTAGTATGCTTGGCCCCGCTTACTCAAGACGTGCCCTTCTGACACCATTTCTTTAGCACTTACTTCCATGACCATTGGAAGACCTCCCTCGTCGGCCACAGCGAGAACAACGGCGCCAAGGACTCAGGCCATCTCCGCGTCACCTATGCTCACAACTACTGGGCCAACTGCGGCTCTCGCGGCCCCTCGCTGCGCTTCGGTACTGGCCACATTTACAACTCATACTACCTCAAGTAGGCTTATATTCTTCTGCTTTCGTTCAAACAACCACTAACCTCGAACAGCATGAACTCGGCCATCAACACCCGACAGAACGCTCAGGTCCTCATTCAGAGCAACGCCTTCAAGAACGTCACCGTTCCCATCACGACACAAGACTCTGACATTGTCGGCTACGCCAACGCTTTCGACAACGATCTTGGCGGTGCCCCCAACACGGCTCCCGTTGGCAAGCTGACCGCCAGCTCGCCTCCCTATGCCTACAGCCTCCTTGGATCCTCCAAGGTTGCTGCCACCGTGCCTGGCCAGGCTGGAGCTCGTCTTACGTTCTAAGTTTGCCGCGCGCAACGCGTCAAGCGAGTCCGACTGATCATCCATTAATTTCCCTTCTGTGTCATACTTTATCTTCCGTATATATCTGTTGCGCTGAATGATACACTATACCTAGAATTTTGAGGTCTTGAACCAAGAAAGCCACTCAATCTATCTCATTCTCAAACTCAGGCTATTGTCCCGTCGAATTAAACGCGAGCTGCTGTATCCAGTCTGGGGGCTGAGCGCCGTAGGCCTTGGGGCCCATGTACGCTAAGCTCAAACGTTCTTGTGGCTGCTCCGGTGCTCATGGCCCCAGGCTTGACCGAATGCAATGTGCGGGGAGATATGCCTGTAGCCAGCCACTGTCCCCCTAACGTGATAACGATCCCCACAACCCCGCGGCGGGAAACGCAGCGATGTATTTTCCGACAGTATCCCGCCATCAACATACAACTACCCCGCGCCCTCCAGCCCTGATGCCACGAGTGACGATCCATGACCACATGCGGGGCTAGGGCACGAGGTAAACCGCCTCCAACTGCTATTCCCCTACGCTAAGGCGCGTGGCAGACCCTTTCCCGACGCGCATGAGCATTTGCAGCTCCACGGCGATAATTCCGTACCCCCACCGATCTTGATTTCGCGATGTAGAATCCGGGCGGCGTGCACTTGGCCTGCAGATGTGTCTCCAGTCAAACCCGGGTATGAATCCCATAATGGACCGACAATAACGGCGAGCTGATATGGAGGCGACGAGACCTATAAAGCCCTGGACCCCGCCCCCGACGATGAAAGCTCCCCGTTGAAGGAGAAACCCATCGAGTCACGTTTTGTCGCAACATCTGTCCACGACTACCAACGATAACGTCTCCAATATCACCCGATAAGATTTGCCGAAATGGTTAAGCACTGGCTCGGGCGTTCTGCGCCGGCGGCGGCACCTTCTCTGGGTCTCACCGAGTGGCAATCGTCGCGCAATGAGTCGAAGGTCGCAGGTTTGTCTGCCACCGTATCTCTGGCGTTAGGTGATCGTACTGACGCGGCCGCAGGTATCGTTGTCGAAGGCAAATCCTTCGCGCTCCACACAGAACACTCATCTTACCGCTTCCACGTCGACGAGGAGACGGGTGACCTCTTTTCCGACCACTTTGGCGGCCCCGCCATCGAGACTGTTGAAACAGAAGCGCCCCTTGTCAATGGTTGGAACAGCATGCAGGACCGTGTCCAGCGCGAGTATCCGGACCTCGGTCGTGGCGATTTCCGTGTCCCCGCCATACAAGTCCACCAGGCCGACGGCTCCACCGTCAGTGATCTCCGATACCAATCTCACAAGGTTGTTCCTGGCAAGCCGGAACTGGAAGGTCTTCCATCGACTTTCGGAACCGACGAGGAGGTCTCGACCCTGATAATTACTCTCCACGACAGCATCAACTCAATCGCCGTCGACCTCTCGTACTCAGTCTTTATCAAGCACGATGCTGTTGTCCGAAGCACCAAGATTACAAACAACGGCCAGGGTGCCATTACGATTGACAAGGCTGCGAGTCTCAGCATCGACTTTCCTTACGAAGAGATGGAAATGATCCAGCTAAGAGGAGACTGGTTCCGCGAAGCCGTGAGAACGCGCCGCAAAATTGAGTACGGCCAACAGGGGTAGGTTACAATGAATGCGTGGTCGCCGATACGTTTTGCTGACCTCCCACCCTTCGTCTAGCTTTGGCAGCCGAACCGGTTACTCCTCGCACCTACACAACCCCTTCCTCGCCCTCGTGGCGCCTGACACAACTGAATCGCATGGTGATGCTTGGGGGTTCTCGCTCGTCTACTCCGGGTCCTTCTCCGCGGAGGTGGAGAAGGGCTCCCAGGGTATGACGCGCGCCATGCTCGGCTTCAACCCGAGTCAACTGTCATGGCCGCTGGCTCCCGGTGAGTCGCTGACAACGCCCGAAGTCGTCGCCGCCTACTCCAGCGCTGGTGTTGGTGGTGTTTCTCGCATTTTCCACCGACTATATCGTACGAACCTCATCAAGAGCAAGTTTGCCACTAAAACGCGACCTGTTAAGCTCAACAGTTGGGAAGGCCTCTACTTTGATTTTGATCAAGACACCATCTACAAGCTAGCCAGCGATGCTGCGGATCTCGGCGCCAAGCTCTTTGTGCTCGACGATGGCTGGTTTGGCAACGAACATCCTCGCATCAACGATGCCGCCGGCCTTGGTGACTGGCAAACCAATATGCAGCGATTCCCTGATACGCTGCCAACCCTCGTCAAGCGAATTACCGATCTCAAGGTTGCCGACTCGCCCGATAAACTGCAGTTTGGTATCTGGGTCGAGCCTGAGATGGTCAACCCCAGCTCAACTCTTTACCAGGAGCATCCCGAATGGGTCCTCCATGCTGGCGACTACCCGCGCACAACTCAGCGAAACCAGCTCGTCCTCAATGCCGCCCTTCCTGAAGTCCAGCAGTTCATCATCGACACCCTTTCTGAGCTTCTGTCCAGCGCTCCGATCACCTATGTCAAATGGGACAGCAACAGGGGCATCCACGAGGGCGCTACACCGTCGGCTCACCACACCAATATTTTGGGCATGTATCACGTGTACGACGTCCTCATGAAACGATTTCCCGACGTACTGTGGGAAGGCTGCGCTTCTGGAGGCGGTCGTTTCGACCCCGGCATGCTACAGTACTTCCCTCAGATCTGGACTTCTGACAACACCGACGCTCTCGATCGTATCTCCATCCAATTCGGCACGTCCCTCGTCTATCCTGCTTCGGCAATGGGTGCTCACGTGTCTGCCGTACCCAACGAGATCACAAATCGTATCACACCCATCAAATTCCGCGCTCACGTTGCCATGATGGGTGGCTCATTTGGCCTGGAGCTCAACCCCCCCAAGATCTCCACCGAAGATCGAGCTCAGATCCCTGGCCTCCTTGCCCTCAGCGAAAAGGTCAGCCCCATTGTTATCAACGGCGACATGTGGCGTCTGAACTTACCTGAAGAGTCCAACTGGCCGGCTGCACTCTTCATCTCGGAGAACGGTGCCGAGGCTGTACTGTTCTACTTCCAGGTGCGTGCTCAGTTCAACCACGCATCGCCGTGGATCCGACTGCAGGGACTTGAGCCCAGCGCACGGTACACCATCGATGGAGCCAAGACGTACACGGGCGCCACGCTCATGAGCAAGGGCCTGCAGTATGTCTTCAGTGGGGACTATGACAGCCGCGTCGTTTTCATTACCAGGGTTTGAGGTTGACCGACAGGTGCACCCTAGCTGAGGATTTGCTATAAATGCCAAAGGCAGTGCGCTGGGCATATAGACTGCTTTATTTGATTGTTCATACCCTTCCAGCTTTTGGCCGCATGCTTCGCCAAAACTTTATATTTATACATAAGCGAATTTACATTCCTCATTATTCTTAACTGAAGCCATAGTAATTTTGCGGCGCGGATAGTTAGTAACGTGGAATTTCCAGGATGTTACTCATAACAGGGCCAAGGTCCAGACCCCGAGGTCGCCACCAACCTGCGGGTCGTATCACAGGCGCAACTCAGTATGCCCCGGATCCGTACTCGAGGCTGATCAAATGTTGGTTTGGTTCCATAACGAGCGGCCAGTGACGTACTCGTCGATGTGGTGCCCGTTGACCGTCTGACGTGGTTCGGCCCTTCTGCCTTGAAGCCATTCCAGATCAGTGAGCTCTGTGCCTTGACACAGTCCATCCTCGTCAGTGTTCGTCTTCTATGAGCAATGAAGACCAGCCAATACGGAAATGCAGCCTGCGGGCCATCCTTGATGAAAATATGCACCCCGCGATTAGCTCACGCCACTACATCGCTTCTGATGACGGGTACACACTTCCCGCTGTAACATTGGGAGGATTGTTCCAATAATGATGAGCCGTTCCAGGTTCGATTCGTTACCAGGAGGCACATACTGGCAAGGGTGCATGGTGGGTAACCCCAGTTGGATTTCGTGGTGTTATCTTCGAATTCCGGAAGCCAATTGGGCCCTCCTACTCGCACATAAAGCGATCGCAGGCCAAAGTGCCATTGCTACCACATGATCTTGCACACAAAAATGAAATGATGATCACGGAGCGGTGGCTCTTCGGGTCAAATCTCGCCGCTCGATGCACCGCGTATGGTCTGTCGGCATCCAACTGGCTGCGGCGGCCCAGGTGATGCCATGCCAGTATTTCAAGAGCGACATTGATTCGTCGAAAGGCCGGCATTGAACTAAATGAAAGGTCAGCTGCCAATTTCTAGAGCGGGTGAAGCATTTCCGAATTGTGATTTTCGTCACGGTCAAGATCATGATGCAAACAAAAGGTAGGACGGCCAACACAGACTCGTGTACTTAAAGTCTTCCTCAACGCGCCGTAAAAAGTGAAGCATAAAATTGGACTCTACAGCTGGTGGTTATATTCCATGCAAAATGCAGATCTTCACCTTTCTACACTCAGCCTTGCTGATGGCCATTGTTGTAACAGCTTCGCCAGTGACCAGAACTGGATCTGGCGAAACCCTACTTGAGAAGCGGCAGGATCGCGGTTCTTACACGGTCTCCGGGCTTGGTGCTCGCAAACAAGCCATTTTGAATGCTGGAGGCAACACCTTGGACCTTGCTATTGCCATGCTCGAGACCGAGCGCATGTCAACTGATTACATCTACGGTATGTCGTCTATCCAGTCTCGTGCCATGTGGATCAAGTAGTAGGAAGAGCATTTAACGTGACCAAGGAGACAACAAAAGTAATGATGCAGCCAACTTTGGACTGTTCAAGCAGAATTGGGGCATGCTCCGTATCTGCGCCTCTCGTGCCAGCTTCGTAGGGCAAAGCCAGAGCCAATGGAACAATGGCGCAAGGCTCAAGTACGCCAAGAATTTTGCCCAGACAAATGGAAATCTATTGAACGAAGACTAACACCTTTATTTTCAGCTCTGATGTATACGCAGACGTTGCTGCCCGTTGGGACTGCCATAATTATTATGGCTATAACTTGTGGATGGCTGGTCATCGCAATGGTGCATCGGGTCTCAACAACCCGAATACTGCTGATATCAACAGCTACAAATCTGCAATTGAATGGATGCGGAGTCAGATCGACTCTAACTCGCGGTACAGAACTGATGATACCCGTTTTTGGGTTAACGTGCCGCCTATCTGACACAACCTCCGAAAAACAAGCTTGAGATGGTACGGATGTGCTGAATGAAGAGGAATCAAGCTCACGAGACAGCGATATCCGATCTGGTTACCTGCAGCGTTGATCGTAAGTCTTTGAGTCCCAAAGACATGCCTTCATCACAATATCAAGGCCTCAAGCATGGGCGAGCTGGTTCCCAACATCACTGAGAAGATATGAACAGAGCTTGAACAATGTTCGACCCCAGCTCACAAGTTTAGTCGGTCATAAGACTTCCACAAGCTCAGAAATCGGATGAAAGCAATCTTTTGAGATCCAATAGCACTAGACACAGCTCGACTGTCTTCGCAAGCCTGTCTCGAAATTTGTACCCTTCGAAAGCTATCCAAGAAAAGAAAGTTGACAACATCTCCCCTATAACTGCTTTGACTGCGCTTTCAAAAACCATCCCTTCAACCCCTGCTTCATCAACTTCACCTCAAGCCTGGAACCCATTTCCCTGAATCCCTCTGCGGCAGATGTTTTGAGCCCAAGCACAATCAGCCGGCCAATTCGCGCCGAGGCCTCCCCTGCATCATCAGCAGCCTCCAATAGACTCGAGACAATTTCCATCCGAAGATACGAAGACATAGGCGGATATTTTAATGCTGACACTTCGTCCAGACGGCCCAGCTTGAACGCAACATTCAATGGTTCCAAGTTGTTCGCAATCTTGATGACTGTGTCTTTGAGGAGCCAGAAATCATCGTGATAAGGTAGTTGGCGCGACAACAGGATATCGATTAGATCTGAGACCCTTGATGCGAAGTTGTCAACCTCCGACGCAATGGAGGGCTCTTTAGGCGAAGAACACGGCATTCTCAGTAGCCGAATCCGCAAACGGAACGTGTTCGGAAGTACACCACTGAATTGCTGATGCCGCCGCATGTCCTCAATCATTGTGATCAAGCTTTGGACAACAGGCATACAATTTTCTCTCCAATTGAGCCAATCATCTCGACTGGTCCGGACCTCAACCCTTCCTAGCCTCTCAGCAAGGGGGTAAATTGGATCGCCTTGACGAATCAATAGACTGGCCACACTAAGAAGAAATTGTTGTAAGTCCGGGACGGTGACTTCTCCACCGGTGGAAAAGTCCTTCTGCCCCAGAACGGTGATTGCCCTCGTGAGTACAAAGGAAAGAACCTCACTCTTGTTATCGTACTGTCTAAGCCAATGCTTCCCGGGGTTTGAGTTGAAAAGCTTGCTTTCTGATTTGACCATCTCTGTGACATTTTCGACGGTGGAGGAGGGTGCTATATTCACAAGCACGACCTCTCGAAGTGTATCGAAAAGGGCAAGTGGCATGCTCGTGGTGCACGCAGAGAAGACGAAAGCAATATTTTTGAAGCTGATGGGTCCGACAGGAAGGCGCTCGCCGGGGGTCAGGGTGACATTCATTCTCTTGACAAATTCTTCCACCCAGCGGCCGTTATTACTAGCGGACTGACTCAGAACGCTCATGACGATTCTTAAAAGATCCGTTCTGATCTTGCTCTCTGACGGCATTGCGAATGTTCTGTCGACAAGCAAGTCCAGAATGGGCGTCTCACCGCTTACATCAGGGAGTGTCTGCGACTGCCAATCGCCTTCGGTGGTCGGCCGGCGCTCACTGAGTTGTGCGGCGATGGGTACAACATGGAATTCAAGCGCCTCGATAATTTGACTCTGCAAAGACGAGGGGCACCTTGGATTCATGACGGTAGTAAGAAGGCTGCTGACGATAGTCATACGGGCGTCAATATGGCGAGCCTCTGCGAGAAGAGTGACAAGGATCCTGCAAGACAACGCAGGATCAAGAAACAGGTTCCCCTCGAGTACCTGCGCCATCATCTTGATAGTTGTCACTTTGATAGCGGGGGGCTGATCTTCCACCCAGGGCCGGGCATTCTGACTCTTCATAAGTTCATGCATGGCGTCCGCCATACCTTCGACAAACTCACGAGCGGCTGTAGCTGGCAACGATTGAAGGAACCCTATGTTGAGAACGCGGCGATGCCACGAACTGTCGTCTCCGTTCTTGATGATGTCGCGTATAAAAGGGCTGGCAAGAGATGGTTGATCGCTGTGCGCGACCTGGAGGACAACGCTGACAATACTACTCATCTGCGGCTTCAGAGCTTGAGGGCCTAAGTGAGCGATGATTCCCTTAATGAAATGGTCCACCAGATCTGCCTTGACCGCTGCCGTGGCATACGGAAGTCTCCGCAAGATTTCCACCGCCGGCGCCTCAATCTGTTTTGTTGGACCAAGTAATGCCTGGGCGGCAGGTGATCGTAATAAGGCTTCCACTTTGAGAAGTGTAACCATGGTGGGCTTCCAGACGATAGCTGTCAAGGTGCCTGGATCAGATGACTTCGAAATCGCATCAAAGTCATTCGAGATGGCGAGGCGTGCGTCTGCGACAACCCTGGGAAGGTGAAGAAGTTGAGTCCATCTGCTGCGCTGAAATCCAGGCTCCGAGATGGCCATGATGGCCGTTTGAGTAAGCATGATCAGGAGTTGATCGGCAAGGTCAATGTCCCTCTTTACCATATCAAGAGTGGCAACCGGTGCGGTGTCATCACTTTCGTGTTTCGGAATGGCGCACATCAAGTTTTCGAATTCTTCTGTGCTCAAAAGACCTTTGTTGTAAAGCTCAAATGTGGCAAGGGAGTCCTTGTTGAAGCGGCGGCGGGCCCAGCTGGTCGTCTCCAACAATAATTCGAGGTTACCCGTAGCAACACAGAGGTTGAAAGTCGATTTTGCCCAAAAGGCCCGACCTTCTGGCCCGCGTGACTCTGTCGCCTTCTTCCTGCGTTCTTTAACAACTTCTTTAACCCTAGACATCCAATGTGGGTCTCTGTCAGGTAGAGCTCGTGAAAGTAATGTCTTGAGAATTTCAACATCGCCCTCGGTCTGACCCAGCTCCCGAGTTTGTTGGAGGATCGAATGCCGCGAAGGGCACATGAGAAAGTTCCTCCCAGGGTACAGCTTCTCGAGATTTTCCACAAGATCAAAGGCCTTGGCCTTGTCGATGGACAACAGAAGGTCAATAGGCCACGTGCCGGGGGTGGATGACACTGCCTTCAGCTTTGCAAGTCCTGTAGGGGATTGATCCTCAAGGTCAAGACGGAACTCCCGCATGTGCTGGAAAAACAAACGTAGAAGCTGGTAGCGGGTGATCGGGTTGAGCCGCTTGGGAGCATCCAGTGAAATGTAAATGGTGTTCAGCATGTTTCGCTCGTTGGGCTCGCGCAACGACAGGACTTGTGCCAGGTACTTCTCCAGCACCTTTCGGTCTCTGCCGGTGTCGACCCATCGCTGGATGATGTAGCGTATGAGACCACCCGTTTCGAGCGTCAATTTTGTTTTAAACTCGGCCGGGTGGTTCTGAATGATGCGAATGACAAGACCGAGCCACTCGTCACGCGACTCGTCGTCATACCTCCTATGAAGTTGGCGCTTGAGTACGGGCATGATCAGTCCAGTGAAAGTGTCGCATGGAATGCGGGCGTTGTCATCCACGGTTCCGAGCTTCTCCAAAATAACTCTGGAAAATGCCATGTCCCCACCCACGAGTTTCTTGGTGTCAGCGATTGTCAAGTCTGCGCCAGGCGAGAAGATGTCATTGAGGATCCGCCTTTCGTATGGTTCTCGATGGGCAAGGAGCAGGCTTTTCTGCTGATGGAATGTCCAAGCAACCTTCGACTCCCATTGCTGAACGACCGCGTGGTCGCACGCAGGAAGGATGTACTGATAAAACGGCTGTAAAGGTCTCTTATCGGGGTTGGCAGTCCCATACAATATGGCCACAAGCTCACCCATTGCTGTGCGTCTCGCGTCTCTTGCCTTCTGGGCCGTCGCTGTGCGGCCGAGCCTGTGGCACATGTTACGAACGTCGCGCACGCTGAACTCGACCATGAGACTTGCCAACCCTGTTGCGCCACCGATGGCGTCCCATGTTGGCTGAAAGCGGTCGCCGCGCCGTAAGTATTTGCCGAACGTTGGGATGGCTTTGCTGCGTTGTCCAGCTCGGTCGCTTTGGCGAAGACTTTCAGCAATCTCGATGCTGGTGACGCGACCGTTCAACGGCTTGTCATTGACCAAAAGTTGCGCCATTTTGATAATGATAGAATATGAGGAATGCCAATGCTTCTCTCATGATCTTCTGATTTTATATCAGCGGCTTTTTGAGTCACACGGCGTAGCGGCGCTTCGCGTCAGCAGCAACGGGCCATTTGGCCTCAATTGGTAGTGTCCACGCGCGATTGGCCGCCCCTGAAGACATGCATAAAGCTAACCTCAGCCAGCCTGCACAAGATCCGATTAGGTCACCATCCCAATTGAGATCCAGCAATCCCGGGTCCTGTAAAACATGAAGGCAATGTCTCGAAGAGTTAGCAATCTACGTTAAATGTACTACGGCGCGACGCCACAAGACCTTCGTTACCCATGATTGGGCCTAAAATATGCTACAATCAAGACTCTGAACTCGATGGCAGGTGGAACGCTTTATGAACTGCTTCAATGACGAAGAGACGACCTTGATTCGTTCCCGTCCGCCTTACTCACGGCACTGTCGCTGTTCATGGGCTGCAACGCAATGTCGGCTGGTCCAGACTGGATGTCCCAACAATGTCACCTCTGCCGCTGATCAAGATTCGGTTGGCTCGATGTAGATTCTGGGACCAAAGTCCCAGTGTTGGGTCCAGAAGCCCAAACAAAACACTGAGATAAAAACATGACAGCTACAGCATCCTGAGACCGTGGTCATTGCACTCGTCAGTAGGATTATATTTCTTCTCACTGGTGACTGAGTGATTCACAAACTGACACGACGAGTCTTTTATACCCATTAAGCATAGCCCACTATTACTAGAAGCCAGCTCGATCACATTGGAGATCCACATATTGACAGGAAATTATGCGCAAGGTATACCCAAAGGTAATCTGGTAAGCTCGATCTCATGTCTTCACGGGCAAACGATGGCCTCAGTGCCAATCGAATCAGTACAATACCCCGACAAGCTACGCGTTGCGGCCTCGCAATTGTCAGGGTCATTTACATCGCTTCGAGACGTTAGTATATTCCGTTGACATTTCGAAAGCTTGTAATGGGGCTCTTTTCAGTTTACCGTTGAACATCAATAAAGCACCAATTCAAGGTGTCTAAAACGGGACCGCTCCCCTCAGTTGTTATAAAAACAAGTTTGTTGATGTCCTGTGATGTTCAGCTTTGACCCAGATCCTTTCCGTTGTCGGCACAACTTACCGTAGTTCGATAGCAACAGGTACTGGCCTGCCTCGTCAAAACCTCGACTGGACTGGCCAATGCAAGGAATGGAAAAAATAATGAAATGATTGTAGAGGAGTGCATGCTGAATTTGGGTCAAGCTGATAGAATGAGTGAGAAAGGGATTGTATACTCACGAGTTGACTTGCATCGTACCTGTGGAATCTTACAAGCCATATTTATATTCCACTAGTAGCCCAGCCATGCTCAGCGTCGTGTGAAGCAAGGCACCTCATCTAATGCCTTCAGGGATCATTATCCGGCGTTTCACATCGCAATTGGATGTTGCTATGCAGATCTGACTTTTACATAGTGACTATAGCAATCTAAACATTCTTGGCCACTGTAGATCGCAGTGCAACACGCCACGGGCAGAGATCTTCTACCAGTTCGGACGCGGAAGATGACATGCACATGCAGCATTGCAAACTCGGTTGTCCGTATGTTGCGGGGTAGTCTAGACATCGTATAGTGCCCCACAGGGACGGACTGTTTGATCCTTCCGAGCACCGATAATGTACCACCAAGATCGCAGTAGCACGTGTGGTTCCTAATCGGGAAGTGTGCTCCTCAGCGGGGCATGGCCTTGTCAGAATGTGGTTCTGCTCAACTCTGAACTAAATCACAAAGACTGTGGAATATCAGGTATTCATGTGAACTCTGCAAACAGAAGCTCCAGAAGCTTGATAGGTTGAACAATTTGCCTGGCAAGCCTAAAATATCAGCCAAACAAGGTGTCAGGAGGCACCTGTGGAGTCACAGGACAGGGGGATGGTCAAGGCCTGGATACTACGAGAATGTACATGTGAGAGCTGCAGAGGGACATAGTTCAATGTTTTGCTATCCCATGCCTGAAGTCGATTACTCACATCACCTACAGAAGGCGTCCTCACTCTGCTCATCCCTAAGCTCTGATAATAAGAAATTGCACCAAAATTCGAATTTCTCCAGCTGCACCGCGGCCGACGCTGGCCTCTTAGCAAACGAGTGGCCTTTACCCTCTTCGTATTTCCAATCACTGCAATAACGAAAACGCTGATCAGATTACACTGCCTAAGAACACTATTCTTAGGAAGTTCAGTATTGCGTCGATCTCAGAGGGTACTCGGCATGGACTTGATATGTGGTTTTTCAAGTGAAGCGTCTGCAGAGCTGAGTAGAGCCAATGCATTACTGGACCGAATTGTGACGCGCTACCGTTGATGATGAACTCTTTGCCTTGAGGGAAGAGGCAATGGTTATTGATGAGGCAGATCGCAAAGCAGTAATGTGGAACTATAATAGCCGCGACTTCAAGTAAATCCGTTGCATTTCAAGTTTCTAGGACAGATTGATCGATGGTCGCGTACTCAGAGAGCTCACGGTCCGAGATGACATCATAAAGAAAAGCTTATCTAGAACTCATCAAAAAGCATCTGGCCCTCGTGCGAGTGTTCACCTGCTTGCCGATTGGCAAAAGCTCACCAGCCAACTTTGCAGGAGGCTCAAGTGTTGCCCAACGGATCCAGTGGCGTAGTGAGAAATTGAAGAAGACTTGCGCCTGTATTTTACCTTGAACTGGTTATCACACGGCGCTCAAGGAAATTAAAACAACGCTTGATTTCTCTATGCTTAACATCTCAACGTTTTGTCAAGTCGAGACTTGTCACCAAAGCCGCCATCTCGCTGCAGCGCAGGTCTGCCATGTCTCCTGTAACGAACCCTGGGATCGCCTTCAGAGATGTGAAGTGGATGGCGCCGTGTCTCAATACCGCTCTGAAGTTCTTCTTCCGAACCAGGTTCAGACGTACAAACGACTGCAATGCCGGCATTGTAAACTCGGATCATCGCCTCCGGAGACCTACCGAAGTTGATGAAATGCTCCAAAACCTGAGCGTGATTGCGCTGAAAATGACTGAGCACGACAACGTTGACGTCGGAAATGGTTCCGGCTCGTGTGGAACTTCGGACATGCACATTTTGGTTCTTTGAAGGAGAAGTCAAGCCGAGCAATAACACCAGTACAGTATAATATACCAAGCTAGTTATTCACTTCATCAAGATGTTTCGTTAAGAAAACTATCTTCGTACGGGAACCTTAAAAATTATCGAGGGCTTTGCCAATGATCAGGTCTAAATCACCGTTGCTCTAGGAGCTTGCGATGTGCCAAGTGGCAAGGTATCTAGTTTATGTTGCCTAAGTAAGGGAGGCGCCTGCCATTAGTATCAGTCTTGCATCCCTTGGGAACACCATCAAACCATTCACGCCAGGTTCCCGGATCGTCTAGGCCGTCAATTTATCATCAAGAATGCCCATATTGCCCAGAGCTGGCACAGAGACTTGCAGGTCATGTTGCCAAACTTGAGAAATCCGGTATGTTATCGTGATGTACGGTTTACACAATCAATTCGGAAAAAGAAAATCTATCTAGAATGACACAGGGCAGTGCTCACACGTCGTGATTGCTCTCACCGTTTCATAATCCTCTCTTCTCAGCACAAAACTGCCCCAGAAATCCGGCCAGGAGCGTGTCAGTCATATACATTATCTGCAACCGGCCTACCCCCAGGCCCGCCATGCTTACACTAAAGTATTGGATGGCTTCGGCTTTTATCATGAAAGACCAGCTTAGTTTTGCGAAAGATCGACAACGCCTACCGCACCTACGATGCTTGACGTATGCGTTAACTTTGGCACGTTCAAATTATATCAGTCTTTCCTACTGCATCAGAATATTGGAGAACTGCTCAGTAATCGTCTTATGCTTACGCTGCCAATCACCTGATATGCGGACTCTCAACTTCCATCAGCTCAACTTGTCTTCTGATATGACAGTTAATGTCTACGGGATTACGGGTGACGCATTGGACTGTTCACTGCCATTATTTTACTTTCATGTGGTGCGAGAGTCGTACTTTGCGACGCCAGCGACGACAGGATCAGATCCTTTCGAATTACACATCATGGGATCGAGAAGGCTATTCTGCTTATCCAGAAGGCAGGAATACAGACCTCACGGTCGTGAAGGTTGTCGATCTGCAGATAGGAATCAATTTGGGAAATCCGACGGATGCGTCAACCTCGCCGGGACGACTGGACGCAGTCAGGGCCAAAGGAAGCTTGGGAGGTAAGCGATTAGCAGCACGACTTCGTCATGAGCACTAACATCAGGGGCACCTTTAACGTGCTGAGCGAGACCCTCAAGCACGGTATCATAGCAGAGGCCGGCAGTCTCGTTCATATGCTCAGCATATACGGGCAACGCGCTTTCCATAGTGGCGGCATCTACAGCGACAGCAAACATGCAGGCATCGGGCTCGTCAAGAGCCCGGCAACCGAGGCAGCAGGCTGGGGCATTTGAGTCAATATTGTGGCACTGCAAGGATGATCGTCTCCACCATCCCTTTCTGGAGAAAATGTGTGTTCCAACCAATTGTAGCGGGCCAATCGTTACACCAATGCTACGTTCAAATCAAGTGCACGGCTGTGGAGGCACAGCCCCTGATGTACCGGCCAGTTCATCGGCTTGGAAATCGGCAGAGGCAGTCAATGTCAATGTCGTCCCCTCTTTCGAGTTCAGAGGCGAGCTACGTCACTGGAGCTACCTGAGCTGTGGATGGGGACGCAAACATCGAAAACAAAATCACAAGCATTCCTACCGCTTTAAGGAGGGGCCTAAGCGATACGACCTTAATTGCAGGTAGAATTCTTAAGTTTCTTCTAGGTACACTACCACACTGTCTATGTAGTGTAATTAACGGGGATTAAGTTGGCGCATAGGCCGCAGGGGACCACGCGACATAAACCGCCAAGCTTCCCAACTGGGGACTAGATCAAGGGTAATGAGACCATTCTAGGATCTCACTTGTCCCAGTCAGGAAGCCGGTCGCTCCTCCAAGCCTTGGGCTTGGAAACGGCTGGCTAGAAAGATGATTCGCAGTGGGCGGCTTGTACATGTACACAATGTCACAGCCCCTCGCAGGTCTCCTGACTAATGCCCTATTTTTCGATTCGAGAACCTGAAAATCCACCAGAACGAGAAAACAGATGAGGTATAACACCAGGCAGTTGCCGAACATGGCAACTACGGCACCCGTTCGCAGACGATCCGTACGACCCAAGTTTCAGGGGTGCCGTCGATTTCGGCATGCACGACGCCATTATCAAGCATTAGTACTTCATTAGCAATCAAGATATTTTCAAGGCCCGCTTTTAAAAGCGAACTGAAGGTTTTCCAGTCTGCGAGAGGCAGTGCACGCCTAGACAATGATTGATCGTTTTTGAACTAGCTGATTAAGTATGATCTATCAAGCAGCATGTCGAATTTTGCGGGCTGTAGGAAATGATTCGGCCACGTGTTTAATTCATAGTCAAGAAATTGATCGTCCGATGCATGAAATCCTTGACAGCCCATTGTAACGGAGCAGTGCCGACGAGGCTCATCAATCTTAAAGATCATGAACCTTGCTGTTGCGAGTCCACCTACGGAACGTCTTGCCATGAAAGTAGAAGACGACCCCCAGCCCACACCAGAAAACGGTCAACGCCATGTTCGTCATGAACACAGGAATAAATCTGTGCCATGTAAGCTAAACGTCTCGCAGTTGAAAAGGCCAGACTTACCCTGACTTAATCGTCCACGGGGTGATGAACTTGCCCATGCCATAACCCCAGACGTTCTTGTTCACGGTGATAGCCACCATCAGGGGACCAGTCACAGGCTTGTAACAGTCGATGGCATAGGTGCTGGCAATGCTTGGAAGTGCCGCAACCTGGATCCCGGCGCTTGTATAACCAAGGACGACAATGACTGGCCAAGCCCAGTGATTCTGATATCCCACAGCGGTGATGATGTTGCCAAATACCATGATTATTACAAAAGGAATCATGGCTGGAAGACGCATTTCTGGCTCACGGATGCCATTGTTTCGAGCCGTCGCGCGTGCAGATACCCAGTCACTAAATGGACCGGCTATCACAAGCCCAATCAACGCACCGACGAGTACAGCCAGGTTGAGAAAGCCTATCGGAGTCAGACATGAGCATCAAAGTCAATATCCAGGGACCTACCGATAGACTGCGAGCTCATATTATAAGGAGGCGCAGCAAATACTTGCGACTGTGTCAGGTTGAGGATGAGGAAGCTGCTGCAGCTCCAGCTCGCAACAAAGGATGAGAACAGCACGATGGGAAATCCAAAGAGCTTCCATGGGGTCCAAAGATCAAACCAGATAGTTTTGAGTGGCGAAGAGTTGGGCTGGAAAAGTTTCCACTGTTGCTTTGAAGGTGCTCCCTTACCAAGGAAAGGGTCCATAACCGTGGGCTCAGCTGGCGTCACTGTCTGCTCCGCGACCTCAATCGTAACAGCGTCTTGCGCTGGCTGAGCTCGAGTCCACATTGTTTCAGGAAAGCCGAAGAAGGCATACACAATGGATGCCGCAGTCATGGCAACATTGAGCCACCAAAAGTTTTGCCAGCCAACGTGATCGGCCATTGGGCCTGCGATAACAGGTGCAATCTGCAATTGTCAATGAGGTAGTGTTCTTGCACTAGATTTGGTCTAGCATACCATCAATGAGCCCATGTACACGACCCAATAAAGTGTGTTCCATCTCCCACGGTCGTGCAAGAAGTATATGTCGGCAATGACTTGCGGCTGTAAAGTCTCTGATGGACCGGCACCGATGCCGTTGAGTCTATAAAGTCAGCATGAGTCACAGAGCCCCAGAGACAGACTTACACGCATGCACCCATGAAAGAGCCGTATGTCGTGGCCCTTGCGCGAAGGACATGTGATGCTAGACAAACTAGCTGGGAAGTAATAAAGACCGGACGACGCCCGAAAGAGGACATGATGGGAGCCCTAAAGCTATTAGCAATGCACCACAACGACGTTTTGCTCGCTAACCATAGGAAGTTGCTGAATCCAAGAATCAGGATGGTCACTCCTGTGAATTGAATGACGTCTTCGAGGTTACTCTCGTAATCTCGGATGAGGTATGGAAACATGGAGGCCAGAGACAACGGGGCGAAACCCTGGGTGAAGGTCATCAGGGAGACGGCACCCGACACCGACCACTTCCACGAGGCCTTCCAGTTCAGAGGATCATGAGGATCCTGTGAAGGCTGTGGCACAAGGACTACCGATGAATGTTCGCTCTTGATGAGTTCGTGTTTCAACACGTCGGCCATCACCTCGGTACCAGGGACCACCTCAATGTGGAGCTCATCCTGAATCTCCTCGCGTGTCTGGAGGATGTCAGCATTTGATCACTTCCAGGAAAGTTTAACATACCTTCTTCTCTGAGTCGGTCGTCATGATGATTGTCTTGTGTGTTCGATTGTGACATGATTTTGAATCTTGTGGTGCGGTTTGGGGCTTTTATCTTACGACGAAAGCTGTCGTTCGAAACGACAGAGTCCATCGGCAGACTTGGCCGGCAGACACAATCCGCAAGAGGCACGCGGCCTGGGACCTGGATGTTACCAAACCCCTGGGTCGAACAGCCTCCAAATATCGGCATCTCGGCGCGGCAGCTGTTTTGGCAACGATATTAAGGCCTAAGCCAGGAAGCGACCCATTAGCCGAAACTCTATCCCCACAAGCACGAGGGCGAGGGTGCGGGGGAAATGGGGAAACGGCAAGCGGCATTGCGCATTGATGAACGCCAATCATCGTCCCCGCAATCCAACCCATTTTAGTATTCGAGTTCCTTATTAAGACGCCGATGCAGCTATCTCAGGAAAGCAAAATGCTAGTCCTATCGGTCACTTAATATCTTTTTCACCTAACTTATACTTATTAAAGCACCTTACTAACTAATAAGCAACCTATTTATAAGAGAGATATAAGTATAGTAGCGAAATTTCTAAAGAATATCGTCTACCTTAGGGCTTATATAGCTAATAATACTCTTATTTCGGTTAGGGTTAGGTTAGGTATATTCTCATATCTAAGCTAATCTGCCCTAACTAGCAGGTTACAGGCAATCGAGCAGATTATCCTACTAAAGCGTACCCCTATTAAATATAGATACGGTTTTCGCTAAGCGGGTCCGTATCGATATATTACTATACGATTAATCGTTCTCGATTATCGTATACGAGCCTTAATCGGGAGGTTACGTAATTATTACTAAAAGATATTCTTAGTAATAATTAAGTTAATTATCGTATATAAGCCTTAATCGAGTACTTATATAACTATTATTAAAAGCTATTATAAAGTATAATTATATCGATTATTATATACGAGCCTTTCGAATAAAGTTACGTAATTATTATAAAAGCTATTCTTAGCTATAATTATATCGATTATTATATATAAGCTTTTTTTCTAATATAATTATAATCTTTATTAAAACGAAGTATTATTATAATTATATCGATTATATTATTTTATATTAATAGAGAAGTCGCTTAATCGTTTTTCTAAGTTATTCTTTATAATAATCTAGTTAATTAGAAAGCCTAAGCCTATTCTATATCTCTAAGTATAATAAAAATTAAATCTTTACTATTATATAGTCTATTATTATAAGCTAATAGCTAGCCTCTAACTTTAATTTTATAATAGCTTTATTATTATTATAATCGATTTTTAGTAGATATAGCTTATTTTAATAGGATTACTTTTATTTATTAAAACTAAAAGTCTTAGAACTTCTTAGATTATAATATATAAGGTTTTACTTAATAAACCTATTTTTATAATTAAATATAAATAATACTTATAGTTTAGCTTAATAAGTTACTAAGTTTTCCTTAAATAGTAATAAGATTAATATCTAACCTTTAGAGTATTATATTTAATCTATAATTTCGCTATTAATTTATAAATAAACTTTTCCTTATTTCCTTTCCTTTTTATATTTATTATTATATTAAATTTACTCTTTATTTATTATTAACTATTCTATATTTTTATTAAAAATATATTATAGAGTTAATAGATTATAAATTTATTATTACTTTTTCTATTTTTCCTTATCGAATTTATTATTTTTCTAAATAATATAGTAATCTCTATATATCTATAATCCTTAACTAGTAGGTTATAAGTAATCGAGTAGATTATCTTACTAAAATATACCCCTATTAAATATAGATACGGTTTTCGCTAAGCGAGTCTATATTAATATATCGCTATATAATTAATCGTTCTCGATTATCGTATATAAGCTTTAATCGAGAGGTTACGTAATTATTATTAAAAGATATCGTTAATAGTAATTAAGTTAATTATTATATATAAGCTTTAATCGAGTACTTATATAACTATTATAGGGAGTAAGGGCTTTATAACCCTTCTAATAGCTAAAATAAAAGCTAAACTA